TCCACACAGCTTGTGACCTTCACAAGCTCGCCCCCTTAATCAGACAGAGGCTCTTGGCAATTAACAGCTTCAGAATTCATTTGCTACAAAGCAATTCTTTTGCTTTCTGCTTTTGAATTGTACAGAAATTCCACCTCTGGTAGACCTTTGGTAGTCTGCATGTGAAGATTACTACTATTTTTTATCTTGTAAAGTGGAATAAGGAGGACCGAAGAACAGAACAGAAAATAACCTTCAATGTCAAAGAAATATCTTTTACCTGATGAAGTTATTCACATGAGGTAAGTAATAGAATCTCTTCCTTTTGTGTCTTTCGTTCAAGTGCCATGGTATCGGCCACTCCTTGAAACTGTACCTGTTGGAGACACATAAAAGGGGTTACAGAATGTTTACAAGGGTTACACTGTCTTCATTCTGGGATTCTACCAGTTCCTCCTGGGTTTCAGTACAGTGATAAAGTGGTCTGGTAGAGTGCAGAATTTGTCTGGGGGTATTTATTTCCAGCCCTTGCTGGCTTGGTTTGTAACAGCATCTCCTGTGTAGCTCAGCCTCTTTCTGTAGAAAGTGGTCTTATTTTAAAAACTGTAGATGTTTGAATGCTGGACCCAGTATAAACAGTCATTATTTGCAATTTTAGTTTAAAGTTACTCCTTCATAAGAAAACCTCCCAAAGCTGATGTGAACAAGCAGTGTCCAAAGAGTTTTGTTCCTGCTACATCTTTAAGTGCTGGTGTTGGAGTGTCCTGTCAAGTGCAAGTCTGCCTTTCCCCCTAAATACAGACTCTTACTTCTGTCCAGGGTTCCTCTTGCACATGGGCTGCACAGATGGTTTGTGCAGACTCACCTACAGACTCCAGTGCATCCAGAGAGTGTCAGACCTACTATGTGTATTCCAGAGTTTCTGCATGTGCTTAATGACCATTCCACGTTCTCTGCCCCCTCCCTGCTTTAACTGGGGACTGGACATAAAATATATGGGCAGTGCCTTCTTTGTGGACAATGTTTCCAAACAACGGAAAAGTCACCATTATTGTAACCTGTGTTATCTACACTGATTTGATCTTGTGTTATCTACAGTGTTACTGAAGAGCTGAACACTGTAATTAAGTGCTTCCACTGCCAATATGATGAGGGTGAAATTCTGGTTAATGAAATAACAGGTCCTGCCGGAGCCTTCAGCATCATCACCTGAAATTACAGATTACTGAAAGTATCTGGACAACAAATAATTTAAAAGGTAGCACCTTCTACCTAATAGTTAAATATCAACAACAGTATGGAACTCCAAACAGCTGTTTGTACTTTGTTGTCCCCGAATATGTGGATTTTGCATTTTAAGTAGGAAAGTCTAGATGGTTCAACTTGAACACAACTCCCTGGTTCAGTCATGTATAACAGAAAAGGTGTAGTACCAAACATCTTCTGAGCACAGAAATCAAATTAATATAGCAAATTAATATAACAAAACGAATTTTGTTATAATTAAAGTTTGCCATTGAATTATTTAGCATAAACTATAACCACATTAATAAAAAAGCGCCAAAAAAGAAGCACCTGAATGCTGACCAGAAAATACATTTGGTTCTATACAACATATGGATCCTTCCCTGATTAGTTAAGGATTTTCTGGTAGAGACTCACCACAAGAAAAATTCACACATAATAAAAAAAAGTTTTCCATACCAGAAGGTGCGTCCCAAGAAGTCGTGTCTCCACTCTCCAGGTACTGGCTTTTCATGGCCAGTTTGTAAAAGCCTCAAAGCAACTTCTCTTTCTTTCACAACCAAGTCTATATTTTTCATAGACTTTTCTACCTAAAAATGGTAAATAGTTTCAGGATGGGCCAACAAAAACAATACTGACAATTTAAAAGATCTCACATAAAGACCTAAAATTTAAAAGAAAAACAAAGGTAAAACACACTAGTGCTTTAAAAACCTCACTTGAGAGCAGGACAGATACAAAATAACTGATGGTCTGATGTTTGTTTAAAGATGCTGGAAGTACAGAAAGCTCTGAGGCAGGGGTGGGAAGGGGTAGGGAAGCAAACAGAAGATTTGCTGTATGTATTTCTGCCAGGTGGTTTGTACTGGCTGTTGGTTATTTTAGTTTTCACTGTGGAGTCTGGTCCCAGCCCCAGTAATGCCCACTGGCTGATGAGAAAGCTGCTGTGACCAAAATATGACTTGAGCAGTGTTTGTGCATATACTAAAATCAGGGAAATGATGTAAAGAAAAGGTCTTTAACCAATCTACAAACACTTTCATCTTCCATTGAGCAATTTTACTTAAGAGTTGTATTTTTCTGTAGCATGAACAAATTACCTTTTCTAACCGTTCTGGGCTTGGCATAGGCTTGAGCTGTCGTTTTGCTTCTTGCTGTAGAGTTAAAAGCATGTTTCTTTCTTTCAGCAGGACATACCTAGGTCAGAGAGCACAGTAACTCAAAAATGACTTCTGGACACCTTAGCAGTTATTCACTTACTATCCTGTTGGATAGAGCACAGGAAAATCCCAACTCCTACACCTGCTGCTTCATATGAAGAAGCAAAAAGGTCCTGAGCAATTGGAGAAAGCCCAGAAGAGGTGGAGAGGGGAGGGCAGACACAAAAGGAGAGGATGAGGGAGACAGGTTTACTTAGCCTGGAATAAAGGCGGCTTGGGAGGGAAGACAGCAATAAGTTGTCTTCCCCTACCTGGACAGAGCCAGATTCTTCTTACAGGTGCACAGCAAAAGGACCAGATACAGCAAGAACAAACTCTTCACAGGAATAATTAAGTGCTATTTTAGCCATGGCACTGCCTGGAGTGGTGATACAACCTCCAGCCTCAGAGACTGTCAAGATCAGTATAAACACAGACCTGAGCACTCTGATCTAACACCCTGCCTGGCCCCACCAGAAGGCACTTGAAACCAACTCTGTCCAATTCAAACAACCCCCAGAGGGTTCAGATTCAGCATCTTCATCCCAAACCTTTGTCCCAGACACAGCTATCCCACAGCCAGCTGCAGCAGAGCTTCTGTGTTCTGAGCAGGGCCAGAACTGGGGCTGTTCCAATCCCCCAGCAGGCTGGAGCCTGCAGAGCTGGGGGGCAGACTGAAGTTATGGCTCATAAGTTCACCAGCCACATTTTAATAAAAAGTACAGAGCTGCTTTGAAAGAAGGGAAACTTCTTCACTAAAACTTACTTACCAGAGTTTGTGCAAGTCTTCACTGCTCTTGCCCCTCAGCTGCTTTATGTTCCATGCCTCCCCTGTAAAAAATAAAAATAAACAGAAACAAACCCCAGTGACTTAAAAGGACAAAGCTCTCTTATTCTGAAAAAGAAAAAAATGTGCTTCTATTAGCAGGCTCAGCTGAATCAACAGAACAAGGATCATTTAAAAAAAAAATACTACCACTTGGAAAGCTATCCTTGGTGATATTCAGCTTTGCTTTGTTTATTGGTGTTTCCAACAGCCTGGTCACAGGGAAAGCTCTAAGATGAATCTACATTGAATTACTTTTGTTCCATAGGACCATACATTTCACCAAAGAACATCTCTTCTGTGACACACCCTTGCTTCAGAGCAAGGCAGAGGGTTTACAGCAAAACATTTTGCTGCCCAATAGCTATTTGCTTTCACAGACACTGAACACACACAGGAATAAAGATGCACAAACAGATGCATGTATATATACATTTAGAAAAGTAAGTTTTATGTAGCTATGAATGCTCTCTGACGCAAAACAAAACAGGTCAGACTTCAGCTGAGCACAAGTGGCTCGAAGATCACTATCAGAAATGCTAAATATAACTCACCAGACTTGACGCTTTTCTCTCCCCAGTTTCCTGGATCATCAAAAAACTCCTCCAGCCCTCTCCGAGACACAGTCGTGTGCAGGAACTTCACCTGATGGAGGGGCTCAGCTTTCGGCAGGTTCTTGTGGAACAGGTTCAGCGCCAACCTGCATAGAAATTAGAAGGAAAACCATGTATGGTAAGAAAAATAACATTCAGTTGCAGGAGAATGTTTCATTCACAAAGGCACAGGACCTACAGACAGGCAACGGGCTGGGGGAAAAAGACACGAGTTTTGTTATTCACAAAAATATCATCTCTGTGTTTTCTCCTCCCCCTTGTCTCATCTAATCATCTATTTTCTATACTCAGAGACAAATAGCAATTGAAAATGAGATAACTTCGAGCTATGTTGTACAAGAATACACCACTGAATCGTCAGGGTTGGAAGGGACCTCTGGAGATCCATCCCGTCCAACCCACCCGCCCAGGCAGGGTCACCTGGAGCAGGTGACACAGGAACGCATCCAGGTGGGCTTGGAATGTCTCCAGAGAGGGAGACTCCACGACCTCCCTCGTGGCCTTAAAGGCAAACGCCGCGAACACACGGTAAAGCACAAAACCCCTCTGGAGCGCCGGTACAAGGACTGCAGAACCGTAACAGGCACAGGGGGAACCTTCAAACTGCTCTCACAAGATGCCTGAGGCCACACACCACCCTGCAGCCCTCAGGTTAGAGGAGCAGGACACACAGACACCAGGACGCACGGACACCCTCCTCCCGCCAAGGGTTCTCCTTCCTCCCGGGAACCGCGCCCGCCTCCCGCAGTGCCCGAGCAGAGCCCTCCCGGCGCGGTGCGTACCCGGGGGGGCCCGGCCGAGCCCGGGGCAGCCGCAGCGCGGCCGTGAGGCGCCGGCCCAGCGCTCCCACCACGGCGGCCGCCGCCATCGCCCCGCGCCTCCCTCAGCGCCGGGAACGAGCTGCCCTTCGCCAAGATGGCGCCTGCCCGGCTTCACCCCGCGGCCTCGCTGAGGACCGCGAGTACTAGAAACGATCTGCCCTTTGTCAAGATGGCGGCGGCCCGGCTTCACCCCCCCGCCCTCAGTTAGCACCGGGAGCACTGGGAGAGTGCTGCCCTTTTCCAAGATGGCGGCTCCCGGGCTTCACCCCGCGGTGGGAAGCGGCGCCGCCGGCCCCGCCCCGTGCCAGTCCCCGCCATGGCGGCCATGAGCCGGCTGCTGAGGGCGGCCGCGGCCTGGGCGGCGCGGCGGGCGGGCGGCACCGGGATCGCCGGGAGCTCCGGGATCGCCGGGAACACCGGGATCGCCCCCGCCTCCCCGGCACCCTCGGTACGGCCTCGGTGGGGGAGCGGCGGGGCGGGTGTGCGGGGGGCGAGGTGACCTTGGGGAGCGGGCAGGAGGCCGCGGGGAGGGCCGGGGGCTGAACCGGTGCAGCGCGTCTTCGTTCCTATGAAAAACTGCCTTTTTCTGAGTAAAACATTGATGCAAATGGGCGGGATGCTGACCTTCTTGGCATGCTTAGTTGGCCCCGTAGGGTGACATTCAGTGGTTTACTTGTTGGGACTAACAGGTGGAAGCAGATCCACCTCTAAAGTTAAGAAAAAAAATAGGATCGTGCTGGCAAAATAGGAAATTAGTCCAGATGAATAATGATAACCTCCAGAAAACCAGCTCATAACAACTCAGCCACTGCTGTATAGTTGTTTTTTTTTTCTTTCCTCATGTGTGTGTTTGACCTTGTGCTGGCATAATCACCGATGGGATACACAAACATAACACTTTGGTTCGATTTTCAGTTCCTGTGCGACACAGCAGCAGCCATGGGAAGAGAATGTTTATTATCAAGGCAACAAGTTTTTATGATACTCGATTTCTGAACTTGTTGGTGAGTTAAAAACAAATTTATTGCATTTGGTGCAACACGTTCCTCGAAAATGGTGTAAGAGTGTCTAAAATATGATTTCTTATATTGTTGATGTGACAGCATCTAAAATGCGGTTGGCATTATTTGGACAAACAAGAATTGGAGGTCCTCTTTAAAAAGAATATTTTGTCATGTGCTGTAAAATCAGGGGCAGATGAATTTAAAAGACTGGCTAAATATCAAGGGTTGGGATAGGTACTTAAATTACTGCTGCAGTAGCATTCTTGAATTACATGTGGGTGTTCATATATGCATAACCCACAATGCTTTCCACTCCATCCTCCTTTTTGAAACGTATTAGTTACCCTCCTGCAGGGTTTGCCCTCAGTTACCTAAACCACTAACACCAGAGGTGAGATTTAGGAAGCCTGACCTGAATTTGACCCCTCAAAAGCCAGGTTTTGGGTAAAGCCTATTGTGACAGGTGACAGCCAATTTGATCCAACTCCCCTCATGGGATCAGGCTTCCTTTATCTGCCTTGCACAGCCACCAGAGCTGGTGCTGGATTATTGCATTGGTGTCAGTGCCTCATTCCAGGCACCCCAAGATGCTGGGGCAGCGTTCAGGGAAGTGTTGCTGTCCCTCCTGCAGGGACAGACCTTGCTGGAGAGGGGAAAGCTGCACTGAACAGGCTGCTGGACTGACACAGCGTCTCTCTTTGTGTGCTCTGCTTCAGTAATTAACTCATTTCAAACAGCAACGTTTACACACAACATCCCTTTCTAACCTAACAATGCAAAGCTAAGAATTATTGGCTGCTGCACCATTTTCAGACAAACCTCATCTGAATTTTGTCCGGGTTCTGAGTTTCCCATACTGTTTCTTTTTGTCTCCTCTGCAGAGATTCTACATATTCCTGACGGGAATACCGGCGGCGCTGTTCATAACGTACGTCAACATCTTCATTGGTGAGTGCTCTGTCGTGGCTAAGCAAAGTACAGTGAAAATTATTAAATGGGAACTCATCACGCTGGATTAAAAAAAGAAGAGATGTTTTAAGGCTCTCTCTTTGGAAGACCATGAAATAGGCTTAACAGTTACAATAATACTGTATAAGTGCATAGAAGGTGTTACCAATATATTTTCATTAGTTGTTGCTTTAAAAAAAAAAATTCATCTTTTGACAGTCTTTCAAGCATCAGCGAAGTTTAGTGAACACTTCATCTATGTTCACATGAGGAGTCTGTATTACCTTGCTTTATGTACTACTTTAACAAGACTGCAACTGTCACCTTTTATCCACCAAAGGTGTCAAAATTCTGCTTGGCAATATGTGTGTTAAACCTACTGCTGTAATAATATGTGACTAATTTAATAAAGAAATTAGGAAAAATCTATGCTTTCAGCTCCTGTACTTTAAAGGGCATTTCTGTGGACTTGATCCAAGTTGTTTCTTCTGCATAGCTGCTGATTTCACCCCTTTGATGTGTGGCTTGTGTACACAAGTGGCATTTGTTGTGTCACTTAAAGTCTGTGAGCTACAACATCATCTGTGTGTGGTGTGTCTGGAAAACAGCAAGTCCAGTTAGAGCTCACACTGAGGGATTAAGTGCTCTCCGTGAGAAATAATGACCTTTTCCTAATGTGAAAGGCAGAATATAAGGTACTTCTGAAAAATAATCATAGGATTAAATATTCCTCCCCTCCTTTCCTCGTCAGGTGAAGCTGAACTCGCAGAGATTCCCGAAGGTTATGTTCCAGAGTACTGGGAATACTACAAAGTGAGTGTAACATGTAAGAGGGTGGCGTGTTATGGACAGCCTTTCTCTTGATGATACATTTGGGAGGAAACTTACTTTTTTCAGCTTTATGGACCATGCATATTGCTGTAGGAAATCTGTTTATTGGCATAAGTAGATGCAAATGCTCTGTAACTTTATGCTGGAGCTATATGCCAGGAATTCATAACATGCATTTTTTTTTCTTTGTTTTTTTTTCAACATCTTAAGAGCTTAAAATGACATTCCTTTCTTTTGTATTGTTTGCCAGCGTTGTTTTAAAGTCCAATATCACACATGCTTTTATATCTAAAATTGAAGATATTTAAAGTCAGAAATTCAAGGCTGTATGTGTTTAATTTCATTGTATTTTCTTAAAATTAGTCCCTGACTTCTTGCTGCAAGCACTGTTTTGTTTCTGGTAGGAAGCAGTTGAAGGTTTGGAGTCCAGTTTCAGTGATTACAGTGGCAGTTTAAGGAACTTTATTTCAACAGAAAGAAAATAAATCATGTGTCTTCCATTAACTTTTAATCTTGCTACGGAATAGCCATCTGCAGGTTATCTTGGCATTAAAAATGGCAAAAGAAACATGGCTTTTTAGGGTGCTGACCTCACAAATAGTTGTACATGTTTTTAACTTTACTATTACGGTTTGAGTGGCAGCACTCACAATGTCTACGCCATCTTTTCAGGACTGTGAATATCCAAAATTATTCAGTCACGGTGACATTTCTACTTGGGAAATTCAAAAATCTCTGTGTTTCTATTTTCCAGCACCCCATCAGCCGCTGGATAGCTCGTTACATCCTTGACGCCCCTGAGAAGGACTATGAGAAACAGATGGCTTTGCTCGCCATAGAAGCGAAGAAAACTGAAATGAGGTACATCCTACAGCTGATGGCTTTAAAATACTGATGCACTCTGTAGCTGACTCTTTGATTTTGCTTAACCTACCGAGCTGGATGCTGCCATAAAGTGCTGTCCTGTGTCACCTGACCCTGAGTGCTGCTGCCAGGCTGGAAGCTACTGCAGATGTTGTCCCTGCCTTCTCAGTGTTAAGATTACCAGAACAGTCCAAGGGCAGCCTTGTAAAATAACAGGGGCTCCTCAAAACACTTGGTATTTATAAAGGTATAGCTCAGTCTTCCCGAGTCAGCAAGTGGACAGCTCTTCTTGCCCCTGCTATTGCTCACAGCTAGACAAGAGCCTTATGACAAAACTCCTGCAAGTATTTTTGTTACTCCTTTGTGAAACAACTTGAGTTAAAAAAAAAAAATGGAAGGATATAATAGCTCGTGTTGTAGTTGAACCCTTCACATTTTGGTATTACCTATGTTTGAGCAGTATTTATAAACTGTATATAAGAGTATTTACAAATGCTAAAGTCATTGCTGTGGTCAGTAATGCCCTGATGTTAAACATCAATACATCAATAAACTCCATGTTGAGTGTGTCTGTTGTTCTTTTTTTTTCAGGCTGATGGAGCTGGAGGCACGCAGACTGATGAGACACCGGGGAGATGGACCTTGGTATCATTATGAAACACCTGATAAGAACCTTGTTGACAATTCTATGAAATCCACACCTGACAATTAAACAATTTTGGGACAGTGTGCATGGTCTTAAATGCATACTGACAAATTGTGACTGAGCAAAGGAATAGACATCCTGCTGTTTGTTGATGGAAATGAATAAAAATAAACAATGGTTGTGTTGATTCCAGTGATTTGAAAAGAAAGTGTATGGCAGTTAAGCTCATATAGCAGTTAAAGTCAGCAAAAGTGCCTTATGTCAGTTGGCAGAAATTACTCCTTCAGAACATCAGTGATGCTCTGTGACCTAATACATTTGAAACAAGTTGATAATACTAGTTTTCTAGCATTTCTAGCATTTAAAGTTTCAAGTGAAAAGGAGAGGAAACTAAGGTTTTTTTCTTTCTCAGTGCCTTGTGTCAGATAATTAATTGGTGGAAGATGAACTAAGTAAGAAAAATACCTTCATATCTTTGCATTATTGGGATTATATCTACCACTTTAGACAAATACTTTTTCATTACTGAGGTTTTATTTCCTCAGATAGCTCCTGTGTTTTCAAAAGGCAGAATTAAAACAAAAGTGCTTGCCCAGACCTCTGACTATCTACACTGTCAGATGTGAGAGTAGGAAGCAGTGGAAAGGTTCCTGGACATTAAAAAGCAAGTGGTTCATATAAATTCATGTTTTAGTGATTTTTAGAGGATTTTATAAGTCTTAAGTCTTTCATCCAACTCAAGATACTGAAAATAGCCTCACAGTTTCTAGGCTAAAGTTTATGCTCTGTCATGTGAAACTTCTCAGGAGAAAGAAGGATCTCGGTGGACAAATACTAAACTAAGTATTTTCCTATTAACTTCTGCATATCTAACATTTTTAGCAATATATAAAGTTATTGATTCCATTGTTAGAGAGGTTGCTACTTTCTGTAACAGGCTTAGTAAGATGAAGAAGGGGAAGAAAGGAAACTGCTTATTGAAGGTTTTTATGGAAGGATTGCTGGATGGCTGAAGAGCAAGGATCAAGCAAGTTGCACTTGGGACAGCCCCACACTTACCTGCCATGTATTTTCAGAACTGTACAGCTGGTTTTCTACACCACTTTTAACAATTCCATAGGGAATACAGAGGGTTCTCTCTTACCTGGCAGGCTTTTGCCACTAGAGGGATGTGTTTCCTCGTGTTCTACAGGCCATGGTACTCCTCTGGTTTTAAATGTCTCAGGAGTGACGGAAAGTGCCTCTTACAGTTTGTGACCCTAAATTATCTCTCCACATTCAAAACCCCCACTTTTTAAAGGAGGTAAACCCAAGCCCTTTACTAACCCCTGATCCTCTTGTGGTTTGGAACTTAAATTTCTTTCTTTACATTAAGCAACACTGCATGGACTATTTTAAGCAAAAACTGCCTCATCTGCTGTTTCCTGGCAGGGCCAAACATTAGAAAGACATTGATTTTGTATCAGTGCTTTGCTTGTCCTTTTTGTTGGAATCAATCTTTCAGGTTAGATGGCTCATATGTCTTATTGTGGCTCTAACTGTTTATAAATGCTGAGTTATATCATAAGGGAAGCCATTAAAAAAGCACAAAGTCTCCTCAGGTAAAATAAATCTGTCTGGCTCTGTATTAGTGTTTTTTATCCAGCATCCAAAGAGCTCACAAGTCTGATGTAATGTCTGTTCTTGAGTAAGTCTAAAATCATTCCATGGACATCACATTCTGCCCTCGGTGTTGTTCCCAACACTTACAGAAAACTTCCTGAGATCAGAGTGTGCTGCTCTGCTCACCCTCAAAGCCTGTTCGTAACAACTGGATACAAACATTTTTCCATTCTCTTTTTAATTGAGATTTTTCTAGAACCACCTTTTGAAACTTCAGATTATGAGGTAAAAGGTGGTTCTAGTGAAGGTCACATCACCTGCTTGGAAGTGATCAATGAATCCTTGGATACAATGTGGATGTGGTGGAAGGTTATTCACCTTCATTACTCATCTTCATTTTAAATGGGCCTGTCATTTCCTCAATGCTGCTACTGCCAGGCATATGCAATAGTTATTAGATATTGCTTGGAAAAAAAAGTTATTTCAATATTTGTTCCTACAAAGTTACTTCACTCTATTCCTCCTTCCCCTGACTATTTTTTTGAAGTGAAAAGCAGAGAGAAACAGCAAATGGCCCAAAAATGGCACTTTAAGCTGAAGGTACTGTCACTTCAAGTTGTGAGATCTGGGTTTAGTCGCTGGCACTGCCGCAGCAGTGGCATCCCAGAACATCCCAGGCTGGGCATTCCCGCCCTGCATCCCACCCCCTCGTTCCTGCACACCGACCTGCCCCGCTTGCCCTGCGACATCCGACCCGTCAGCGCGGCCGTGGTGGCACCGCGACAGTCACCGGACACACGGGACGCCTGCACCGCGGCACTGGGCAATTGCGGGCGAGGGACTGAGCCTCAAAATACACACAGTATATTTTTTGCTATAGCTATTTTATAAAAAGAAAAAATACAATATATATATATAGTATTTAATTGCTTAAAAAAAAAATAAATAAAAGAGACTGTAATAATTACCGGTCAAAGGGAAACCTGCTCCGCGCTATACAGGGAGACCAGGAGGCGAAGTCTCCGTCCTTCCCTCACGGGAACGAGGGTTTTCGGGTGAAACGCGGGGGCCTCGGCGGGGAACCGGGATGGGAATCTCGCCCCCGCCGCCCTGCCCGTCGCCCGCCCCCGCCGGGACCCCCGAGTGCCGCCGCCGCAGCTGGTGCCGCTCCCCCTGCCATTGGATTAAAAATAGCATCTTCCCTCCCCCTGCCCTCCCTCGGGCCCGCTCCCGCCGCCGCCCTGCCCCGGGCCCGGCTGCCCTGCGCCTGCATCGCCCGCGCAGAGCGGCTCGGCAGGGCGGGCGGGCAGGAGGGAGGCAGGGAGGGAAGGAGGGAGGGAAGGAGGGAAGGAGGATGCAGCGGGCCGCGCTCTTCCGCGGCGGCGATGCGCAGATGGCCGCCGGGGACCTGGGCGAGCTGCTCGTCCCCTACATGCCCACGATCCGGGTGCCCAAGTCAGGGGACCGGGTCTACAAGACGGAGTGTGCCTTCTCCTACGACTCGCCCGTGAGTGCAGCGAACCAAACCCCGGCTGCCTCCGCGCCCCCTCCGCGCTGCGCCCGCCCCGAGCGGCCCCTTCCCGCTTCCCGCCGCACCCCCGCTCGCAGGGCAGCCCCCTCCCCGGCCCGCCGCCTCTCCCTGTGGCTTCAAAATCCCCCCGATCCCTTCCTCCACCTGCCGTGGCCCCCCCTCGCCCTCCCGGTGCCTCCCTCCCACGCTCGGGGGTCGCGGCCCGTGCCCCGCACTGCGCTGGAGCGGCGGGAGCGCTCCCCGCACATCCCCGGCTCCGTCGCAGCAACGCGGTTCCTTCCTGCGTTTGTTTGTTTATCTTCCTCCTCAAGGCAGTCTCAAGTGGTTGCTTGGACACGGGGATTTTGTGGGTTTTGGGGAAACTTCCCTGCCTGCTCTGCCTGTCCGGGTTTGCCCGTCCCCGCGGAGCTCTGCTTTTGCTTTCACACCGAGGGAGATAAAAAGGAGGCAGTAGCCTGGCCTTCTCCTTGGTTTATTTTGGCGAGCAGATGTCAATAGTTTTGCTTTCCTACTGCCTCGGTGCTCGCTCTGTTCAAAATCTTCAGAGAAAGCTTCCAACATAAAGGCTCATCCTGAAAATCGATGTGAAAGTTCCCCTGAAACACTTTCTCCCCCACGGTTTCATTTACGTCACTGAACTTCAATGAGCTTGTAGTATTTCCCCACTAGCTTGGTTAGTTTGCTGTTAGATGAATGCTTCGTGTGCAGTAAACTTTCTGTGGTGTTGGTTTTGTGATGTCTTGAAAATCATCCACCAGCTCCACGAAACGCATGTGTTCAGTGGCAGATTTGGGGCCTGACTCACTTTTAACTTCCCTGGTAATACTGGAAGCCTTTGTAAATGGACAGTGCTCTGTAAGGAACAGGTGCTTAGAAATTACACTTTTTTAAACAGAGCTGAAGTTTTATTCAAAGTTGTTTCTCCACATGAAGATGAGTTTTCCCAAAGGTGATCGAGCACTACATATTGATGTTAATGCCAGTGGCAGCAATCAAAAGGAAGCTCAGGGTTTACATTACAGAATATTAAACGAAAGATACATTTCAGATGGATTTTTGGAATCCTTTATCTGCTTCTTTTCAATAATTCCCTCTCTCTTTGATAAATCCTTCTAATACAGAAAATCAAACTTGGTTTTAAAGGTGACTCAGCTGTCTGGTGTTCATCATGTCTTGTTGAACAGAGGTTATTTTTACCCACACTCTTCAGATCTCAAGTGTCACCCAGCAGCCCTGACTGTACTGGAGGCGGCTGATTAGAACTGCCAAATCAGACCCTACCGCAGAGGCGATAATTGCATTATATACTTAAGAAGGTTTTGGTGGGGGAAAATCAATATACCACAATCTTTCCTTCAAATTTTTGCTTGGGTGAGCACGTGGTTGATGTTTTTAGTAACACTTTCAGACTTCTTGGATGTTATGGTTTATAAAAAATTTCTGTTAACAAGTAAGGAGGGATATTAAATACTGTCACAGATTAAAAAACAATCAATCACCACCCCTCCTACAAGCCTCAAGTAAGCACAGCAAAAGCTCTTTAGCTAAACAATATATTTGAACAAAGCATAAAACATTTGAGCAAACTTAACAAAAACTGTGGATAAAAGCAGCAGAAGGAGTTGAAATCAGCATGTGTGATTCCCCCCCCAATATTCAAAATATTTTGTCCTTTTGACTTTGTTGGAAAGAGATTTCAGATTTTGGAAAATGCTGCCCTCCAATATAAAAAATTTTAATTAAATTGTGTTATGGGCATTCACTGGGCAAAAGGCTTGGCTGAACCTATGCAGTACCAGTAAAAAATAAAAATAAAAGTAGTGCCAGTTTTTATTGTTTCCCAATAAGCTTTTCAGCCCTTACCACTCCTCACCTTAGCTGAGCGAAAGACTTGTCGCAGATTTTATTTTTAATTCTCTGTAATCTAAGAGACACCTGGATATTGTTTCTGTGATGACGTTTCTAAGGGGCAAATGTAACCTGTGCTTTCAAGGGTAAATCGCTGTCATTTGACAAATGGAAAATAGCAGAGCTGTGTTTTTACAGTTTTCCATTCAGAAGGAAAGTGAAAGGATACAGACTGGCTGGTGCTTGGCTGAAGGGAGATGTTTATGTTTTATATTAGGTTGGCTTTGTGACTTATTTTCTTATCACCTGAGTGAGCCTCTCCCTGCTGAGGTGCCTACCTCTTTTTGAAAGAAGATACACTGTTTGTTTGCTGACTTTGTTATAATGTTAAAGCAGATGATCAGTGTTAAAAAACATGCTCTTGGTTTTGTTAGCCATGCTAAAATCCCAGATTGCATTTTTGATGGAGGAGGTGTTTTCTCCTGTAACAATATTTCTCAGTATTTCCTCACGTCTTCTCGTTTTGCCATTTGAAATATGCTCCTTGTTACAGTTTAACTTTACCATGTCTCTCTTTGGAGTCAGCTCAATGCAAACTGTTTTGTTCTGTCACTTTTTTTGTCCCAATACAAGATCTAATTTCAGCAGTTTGCTTTTTATTTATTTTTTTTTTCCTTATCCCCCTTTCTTCTACTCCAAAGAAGAGAATTTTCGGAGTGTTTGAACAGGTTAAAGCGACCTACCCAGTAATGCAGCAATTCTGTACTCAAGTTTCTTTAGCCATACTAGTTGCATATTATTAGTTTTCATTTAAGGATGTGCCATGATCTTTAAAATACACTGAAAACCGTCAGACCTGTGAGTATTAGGATAAAAAGTATGATGATGATGATGATGATGATGATGAAAGATTCAGCAGCAATTTTTAAAGGACCAAACAGGGTGGAAAGGTCAAAGTCAGAGCTGTTCCTGTCAGGGGGTGCCAAGGAAAATGAGGTGCTAGGTGTGAGTGGCTCCATCTTCTGCTTCCAACTGTGCAGAGCAAGACCTGACTTTTGCAGCCCTGTTTGTCACCCTATCAGATGTCTTGTTGTCTAGATTTGAGTAGGACAGTGTCATTGAAAATCCATGTTCCAGTGGATGTAGGGAGCTTCTCTGTTCTCAGATTTGGTTGATGTTCCCTTTCCATGAGTTTAAAGTCTTACTGCCTTGGGTGAAGATCTGAGAACAATGGCACCTTTGAGCTACAATGGGAGTCATTGGTTGGAAGAGTTCAGAATTGTGAGCTAGGAGAGGTACGAGTGGATATTCAGTGTATTTTTTCCACATGGATTAACTGTAGCATGGTGATCTTCTCAGAAAGGTGGTATTGTTAGAAATACCACTAAACAGATGAGGAATTCATGTCCTTAGATTTGACCTGCTTTCAGCAGAACATACTAGGTTTGGTCCCCAGGAAAGTTGGCAGAAACAGGAGGCCAAGTTCTGTGCACTCAAGAGCCCTAGTGACACTTTTTAGTTTGCTTGTCTCATGAGAAAATATGCCTCTTTATGACTTAAATTTGAATTACTTTTCTATAGGGTTTTTTTTATGTCTTCTAGGAAAGCTCTGTTTCTGTGCTGGGGGTTCCTCCTCCAGTTAGCTGTTCTTTTATACAGGAACTGAGGAGGGAAGGCAGGCTGCTGAGGAAACACAAACCTGGCCTAGTGTTGGTTGTTGCTTCCTCCAGTGACTGGCCCAGCAGCTCTGGGAGCCAACTGCATCCCTGCAATTTGGCTGATGTAGTCCTGTACCTCTAATTTTTCAGATCTGAGGTGCAATTCTCCCTCCTGGTGCCTTTTTTCTTATCTATGCTGCTGTGATGTAGGTTTCTTCTCTCCTGTTGTATTCACTTTTATTCCACTTTTATTCCTGTTGTATCCACTTGTTCCTCTTTTGAGGAATGAGGGATGAGCCTGACTTTGTGTTCAGTAGAATGCAGGAGGTAAAAGGATTGCATTATGTAACCTTTTGTCTTACTGTTATTTCTATAGAAGTGTAGTACTCATCTGTGGAAATTCCACCTTTTAATGGGATCCTGGTCTCAAAGACCTCTGGCCATTTTAGATCAGACCCATCTGAGGGAGAGGCAACAACTGGAAAAGGGATACAAATGGGAGTATGGGAAAGGCTTACGTGTATAGCTGTGGAAGTTGCACATGGATGTGCTCTGAAACCTTCGCCATGGAGGGCGTTGGTCACAACCCCAGCACAGCTCATGAGTCTGACACAGGGACAGGACCAAGCAGTCTGGTTCTGTAGAGAGCAGGACTGTGTTTGTTTGAGCAGCTGAAAGCTTGGCTTTGCTCTGCTGGAAAACCTTGCTGCTGACAACAGCTTCCTTTGTGAATCTTGCTGACTTCATTTCTGTGGCTCGGGAGCTCTGTAATGGTTATGTTGGGACAATTCCCAAAGGCTAAACTGGGCTGATGCTCTGCTGTTTGTTATACAGCACAGTTGAGACTGAGATCCTTGAGAGTCTGGAGTGTGTAGTGGATATCGGTGAGCATAATGTGTAAAACTTTCTAGAGATAAGCAGCTCCTATCTGGCTGTTCCTTTGGTCAATATTCCTTGAAGAAAATCAGAAGGTCACTGTGGCTGGTGTCTGGGAGGGGTAGGCTGATATCTTGCTTCCATTGATGGAATGGGAGTAACAGAGAGGAGACAGGAGGAATGAACACACCGAGACAAATGGAATACTCCAGACAAAGGATTTTGGCCTAACTGCAAAATGACCTCCAAGTTGCTGAGGCAGTGAATTTCTTGGTGGTGAGTGATTACCTGAAAAGTCAGAGCAGAGTTGTACTGCTGCTTGACAGGGAGATACCAAAGCTGTCCTGCTGGCTGGGAGTGCTCCAGAACACGAAGGTTAACTCACTGGTCTTGTGAAGGTGGAGAATGTAACATCAGTAAGGGTTGTGCCTGCAGTGGCTGACAGATGAGAAATAACTGTGCTGCTTTGGAGGACAAACAATGTGTATTTGCACTGTGCTTTTCCTTGGGATTGATTTAAATTTGGATCTTACTGGCTTTTCCCTCTGTAAGTGTGATAGACTGTCCTGTTATCTGGAGTGATGATGGACTGGAGTATTTTGGGTAGCAGAGAGACTTTGATTGTGAGGTACCTGCAGTGTCAGATGATAAATACAGAGATGCAGATGAATGGACAATGCTGGAGCTCTGCTGAATGTCGCTGTGGAACCATAAGTTTTCCCCTCAGTGCTTCTTCCCAGATTTTCTGTTCTGGAAGCACAGCGCTGTCTTTGTGACCAGCAGAACTATACAGCCAGGGCTCTGCAAAAACCAAAACCATCAAACTCCCTAAATCTAAGCTGCAGTGGAAGCAGTGATGATCGATGGGTGGAACTTCTGTATTCCTGGTTGCAGGTTAGAAATGCTCCCGACCTCAGGTTAGCTTTTACCATTGTGTTTGCTCATGTATCGTGAAGTTTTGATCCTGCCTGTGACTGTGACTTGTCCAAGATGCTGCTCCAGAATTACGAGTGTCCTGCTCTGTAGTTCTCCTGTGACTTACACACGTGAGTGAGTAGTCAATCCACCTCTTGGAATGGTGGTTTGGTTTCATTTTAGTGACTGATTGGCCCACACAGCTTTTTTCTTCCCAGGAACGTTGTAAGTGCTGTATTGGATTGGCCTTGATCATGTGCCCATCTAGATTCTACAACAGAGATACCAGACATCTTTTTTAAGCAATTGTGAAAGAACCTGCTCATAGGGGAGTATTCAGTGCTGTTCAAGGCTTTTGTAAAGCAAGGGCAGGGAAAGGATGTCTTTTGCACTTGAAGCTTACAGCCCATTATTAGAAACTCTCTAATATATTTCCTACTCCCAGATCATTTGTCCTTTCTTTCTCTGCCTCACCCATCTCTTCTTTTCCCACATCTCTCATCTTCCACCAGTTCCAGTAGTACATGGTTCCTCTTCACTGCTTGTATATACTTTCACATCAGTGTTTCTGTACATCTGTGTTGTTCAATTTCTTTTTTTTGGTTCTGCCTCTTCTCCTTCTTCTCCTCTTTACCAGATGCCCAGTTTTTCTTATTATTCCTTTTCTTCTTTCCTTTTGTCACCATTACTCTGATACCTATCTCAGCAAGTTTTGCCATTGTTCTAGAGGATCTAAAGCAAACACTGTGTAGCAGACACTGTGCCCAGGTCTGTAATTGTTTGCCCTGTTAGTAGATCACCAAAGCCATTGTGTTTTTATGAATTCTTTGTTGTCTGAGCCACCTCAGGAGTTGAAATTGCTAAATGCTAGATTTCCCTGAGGGGTCTAAATGATTTGGGGGCATTGGTAATGGAATAAGAGGTCATTAGTCCAAATCCTGATCAGTTTAGTAGTGTTTGGAAGCTGTTAGTGCCTGGTGCCATGAGCAGTGTGAAGAGACGAGGTGATCTCTGTGTCCTCTTGGACTGGCATTTGTATTTCCAGACCTCTCACCCACCAGCTTCCTTGCTCTGTTTTTGAGGCCTGAGAGGGAGTAACTGGTGCATTTTTGCTCTCTTTCCCTGGGGATTCTGCACCTCTTTCCTTCCTCAAAACATGAATTGTTATCTAAATAAGTAAGAGTAGCTTTTTTTTTTCTTTTTTTTTGCTTTGTTTTTTTAAAGTACTTTTCTCCCTGGTGTGGAATGTATGTCTCCCTCTCCCTCAATAAAATACCATGGCCATCTTAGCAGCAAAGAACAGGAAGAAACAAAGTGAAGAGCAATCACTTTTCCTCTTCCTTAGAGGGGGCGAAGACTGTCCTGCTCCTGAGTGCCCTTCTGGGTAGTGATGAAGGCCTGAACATGTACAAGCTTCAGCCCCAACAGTGTCTTTAGACTGGAGAAATAAAGGAAGGCAATGTTTGTACTTTATCCTAAACTTCACACTACGTGTGAAGTCCACTTCATGCTCAAACGAGGGTGAGGGGGGAAAAATACCCAGCTAAAGTTCCTGGCTTTGTCTGTCAGGACAATTTATATTTTTCTGGTTTAAAATAGTGTCTTCAATATTTTAGATATGCTGCCTTCCTCCAGCATAAAATGTCATACATATTTACAATGAATGTCAAATACAAAGATTTACATGCCACAGCCTGTGTAAAATATCATTCCTTCCAGAACTGGTTGTGTGCTCAGTAGGGTTAAATTAACCAGCACAAAGTTTGTCTTAGATCAGAGTCGAGTTTTTTTTGAGCAGCAAATGGGACCTAATCCTTTGTACAGCCATCTACAAAGGTGGTTTTTTCACAGGGGCCCCTGTTTTGCTGTGACCTCTTTTGGACAGTCTGTCCACTTCTTTCCATGTTGTGTGAGAGAACACTGCCCGTGTTCTCCAGGAGAAATCACTGTTTTGTTAGTAACCACAACCAGCTTACTCAGACTCTACATTTAGCTCATATATTCAAAGTGTCAGATTGTCATAGGCTGCTTCTCAGAAATGGTTCAGTGGTCTCTTGGATTCCCTCCAGAAAAAGAGAGACTGGTCTCCAAGAAAACAAAACTTTAAACAAAGTTCCTGAGACCCTAGAGTGACAACACTATATATTTTTATTTAGACTGGGTACCTGTAGGATCCTCTTGTAGGGGACGCATCCATGGCTTTCTCAGAGGAGATAATGCAAAAGGATTTGGAACACAGGATGGAAGAGCAGACAGCAAAAGTATAATGGGCCTTAAGGTAGATAAATCTGTGAAAGGGTAGTGGAAATTAAAATAAAGGTAATATATTTTAAATACAATTGTATTTGGGAAATATTTTGAATACCAGATTTGGAATTGTCTTTTAACAACTTTATTACTTTTGAGCACAGTTGTAGCTATCAGCCCTGTTCTCAAGGTTGCGAATATTGGACTGTGAATATTTCAAATTAAAAATAGCTGTGGGGTTTTTTTTATGTAGAATGTCAGGGGTTATGTGGATCAGAAATGAGATGGCTAAGTGGTTTCATCTGCAAATGCAATCATTGTGGTATCTAGATGTTACAGGAACGACTTGATGGTATATGTTAGGTGTGAATGGCAGATAGGCTAAACCCTTGCTTCAGATTGCATATTTTAATTCTGGAATGCTCAAGGCAATTCTTGACCTTTAGAAGGAGGTAAAGCAACAGCTCTGTAGTTCATTACATGTTCACCTCTCAGTTAAATCTGAAAAATTGAAGTTTGTATGTGTTGTTTCCCATTAAGAGAAGCAGAAGAGACGAGTATTTTCTAAGGTCTTGGGGTGAAACATCAGTTCTCTGGTCTTCATGTTTTGCTCCTCAGCTCCCTGGCTCTGCTGGATGCTTTGGAAATACCAGTATTTGTTGGAGTCTGAGGCAGTTCTTCAGTTCTGGCTTTAGTTGTAGTGATGGAAAGGAGCATGTTAGAAAGAGTAGCATACAGCTATGGGTGGTGTAGGTGAGCTGGAAGTTTGGATTCCTTCAAGTCCTACAAAAATATTCAGTTCCAATCTTTGAAGCAGGTTGGGGAGAATTAACTGGGTTTAGAGTGTCACATTCAAGCTTGGTTTAAACTTGTGTGGCACTATCAGATGGTATCCTGTCAAAGTGGTTGTTGCTGTAACAACTTTCAATACATCTTTATATACTTGTGTGTGTCTATCATGACTTGTTTCTGGAGATAATGATCCCTACTTATATATTTTTTTTTTTTTAATTTCCTTCTAAGGTGTGCCCATGAATGACTTTAGATCATGTTGTTCTTTGGGGAATTTGACATGAGATGTTCTGTACTATCCAGTAGTACAAACATGCTCACAATAGAAGGAAGGTCACAGAGCTTCTGAAAGGCTCAATCTTTGTTATGCACCACCTATTCAAAACAATACATGTTAGAGGGCTTGAAAAAATTGATCCAACACCAATGAGCAGATGACTGAAAGTCCTTCTGGCAGCCTGATATAGGAGAGATCTTAGAGTGGTGTTAAATCTGAGCAAGGCCCTGGTAACAGCCAGCATCAACACTCAGCTTTTGGGAGAGCAAAAAGCTGTGGGACTTCTGCCAGATTATGTTGCTGAAATGTCAGCATTTGTGATCAGTACCAGGATTATATATCTTTATATTTCCTTTGTAGTGCCCTTGTCTTCAAGCTCTCTAGTTGCATGAATAGAGAGAATCCCTGACAGATACTGAAGAATGTACACAAAACACTGGCCAATTTTTTGTTAGCCAGTTTTGAGAGCTGTAAGGTCACTTGAGATTTGTTTTCCTCAGACAGGCTGAACCCCTGGACCATCAGCTCTGCTGTGCTTCTGATTTGAAATGGTGTTCTTGCAATCAAACGGCAAAAAAAAAAATTCTAATATTTCAAACAAATGTCTGTGCTTCATTATTTCTATGCTTTGCAAATTTCTGCCCCTACAAATCTCTGTGGATTTGGCACTCAGGTGGAACTTTTCAAGACTAACTTCTGGACCTCCAGTTTGGACAATCACCAATCTGCAGTTGTAACCCATTTCAAAGAGTTTCTGTAGGCTGTGGAATGATGTGATGTGATATGTGATATGATGTGGAAGTGTCTTGGAGGACTGATAATGTAAACACCATGATGTGCTACGAAAGCCATTATTTTAAGTGCTGTGATAACAGAAAGGGTCTGCAATTCTTCGGGATTCTTTAATGCATACTGAGTCCTTTCTGTCCTGTTCAGTTCCTTTTATGTTGTAACTGTTTGTGTCGTTCCTTTTAGGATTCAGAAGGAGGTCTCTACGTGTGCATGAACACATTTCTGGGATTTGGAAGGGAACACATTGAAAGGCATTACCGGAAAACAGGACAGTGTGTATATTTGCATCTGAAACGCCATGTGACAGAGGTGAGACTTGGGGCTTCCCAGCTGACTACCCAGCACTTCTTGGTCTCTTGTGCTCATTTGGGTGATGCATTTCAGACACAGACCAAATCACTGAATGGCAGAAAGGAACACATTAGGATTTGGGGCTGGATATCAAATTCGGGTGCTTGGATCCCAGCCAATCCTATAACTTCAGTTCTGACATGAATCAAAAGCCCTAAAGTGTCAGATCTTAAAGGCAGCTTGTTCCTGACTTCCATTTAACTTTTTCACTTCTTGTTTCTGCATATCACATACATATTATCTGCATATTATATTCATACTGTAGGTAGCTAAATACTTTTCTGAAACCAACCTTTGAAGTGTAGAGTTACTGGGTTTGGTTCAGATTTGACTGGAAGCTTCTTTCTTAAAAGATCTACTTTTTATATGATGTTTCATCTCAGGATGACAGGACTTCTTTTCACCTTAAAACTCCTGTACAGCTAAGTCCTGACCTGGTCTGGGATCTTAAGTTTAGCTTAAATTAATGCTGGATTCTAGAGACACAAGCTGCCCCTCCTTTAGTCTACCCCACACACGTGGGTGTGTACATACAAACTCTGTGTTCACTGTTTTTCCATACTATCACTGCATATCAACAGCGACTTACAACCTTTGCCTCATAACATCTGTTTGTGTGTGGTTTGTCTGACATCTTTAAAGGGCTGGTAATGACTTGTGACCTGAGCTATATGGAAGGCACTGGGTTTGCTCATGGCTCACTCTCCCATAAACTCTGTCTCTGTTGGCAAGTTAGAGGGCTTAAAATAGCTGCTTGGAGTGGGTTAGAATACTTGTTTCTCATTCTGCAGCAATGTTTCTCCTGGGTGATGAAGGCCCTGAGTTACCTAAAGTGCCCTGACCATTTATCTTAATTCCAATAGATGACTGTTCATATTTTATCAGAATTACAGGGAGGTCTTCCAGGTTGGGATTGTTAATGTTTGTTATACATAAGAATTGTTTTTCCTTCTAAGGGTGGTACCAGCATTTTACTTCACACTGTTAACCGAGTTTTTGGAGAGCCTAGTCTAGTTTTAGCAACAGTTGTTCTGACTGACTTTAACACTTCTGAGAGATGCTATCTAGAGACAGGTGGGCAGAAATCCTGTCAGCTTTCCTAGTATATAACTTCCTTCCAGTATGTTAGGGCACAAGCTGGGATTAAAATGAGGCCTCAGAAATTCCTTTCCTGATAAAGACTAGGCTGAAGAACTCCAAAATGGAGAAAAATATCCCAGTATTTATTGGTGTTGCACAGCCATTCCCTCGAACTCGTGCAGTGGTTCCTGTATTTCTCATTGTGAATCATGATGTGGCAGAGGGGCTGGCTCTGTGTTTGAAGGTGGCAATGCACCGGTGCTCTGGGTCATGTGGTAGGAAACAGGGTTTGACTCTACAGTGCAGGTGAAGATTGCATCATCTGATAGGGCTCACAGCCAGGATTCCTCATATATTAGCTGTGGATTTTTTTTTTTTACCACGACTGTTTGCTTCTTAAGTGCTATCCTTTCCTTTGAGCAATGTGAAGCATCAGGCCCCTCACTTGGAGCAGTTTTATGAAGTGTCTGGCACGTGCTGCATTGTGGTTTGGGTTTTTTAAGCCAAGATTTTGGTGGTGTGGGATACAGTAAAGCCAAAGGCATTGGATATGCCATGTTAAGATTCTTTCAGTGAGGCTGCTATTCTTGCCTGTGGTTCCCTTGGCATCATCCTTGTAGAATGCACTGCATTGCTGCAGAAATCCCAGTTTGCTTCCCAAGATGTTTGGAATAAGTATCAGTTGGGAATCTTGTCACAATTCAATTAGAAAATAAGGGTCACATCTTCAGCCTGCTGGCTTAAGTAGAGCTGGGGTATCTGCCAGTGGCAGATCAGCACCAGAGGCAGCTGCTGAATCGTCAGAAATGTGCACAAGGTGCAAGCTGTGGAGCACCCTCTGGTAAAATTCTTAGCTAAATAAAGAAAATAGTTTTGTTTTTACTTAATTTTCCACAGAACTTCACTCTTCAGAATTTTCCAATCAGCCACTTTCCTGTAGTGTATGACTTGAGTACAGCTGACTGGTAAGATTCAGTTCCAGGCAGAGCTTTAGTTTGGTGCTGTAGTGATACCTCAGCCCTGCTGAAAACACTGGGAGAGAAGCATGAAGGTTCCTACAGTGCTGGGTTCCTGGATGTTATTCAGGGATGGCAGTGTTATAAAAAATGTGACATTGGTGCAGTTCAAGGGAATGCAGAACAGGCTGTGCTGTCACCTTGTCCAAGAAGCATCACAAATGGAATTTAATGCCACTGCTGATGCCTCCTGTGGCCTCCCATTCACTGGGTATGTTGCATCTGTTAGAAACCAAAACGGTTTTGTGAATGGGGAGTGTTTTCAGTGATTTCTGACAGGTGGAGAAACAAGGTAAAACTGTCAGGTTGTGGGGTTTTTTCGGAGTATTGAGCATCTACAATTCTGATGTATTCAGCAGTTTGGAAAATCAAACTGAAATCATTTCCAACCTGAATTAAATATGAACACTCCATGTGAATTCTTTCTCTTTGAAATCTCTAGTCTTAATGACTTTCACAATATCCTACTTGGTGACATAAGAAGTCGATTGAAGCTTCCTAGTATTGCGAACAACAATCCTTGGAGTATGTTTCATTTACTCATAATATGTTTGTAATTGGGTTATGTTGTTTCTTGCTGCTACTTTTTAAAAATAGATTTGGATTCCTGTCTGCTTCCTTTCCACTTGTGAAATTCCAGTAGTATTAAGGAAAGAAAGGTTCTGCTTGTTATTTTCACTTGCTTGAAGAATTTATTTTTTTTATTTTAGATGCTGGAGTTGTAACCCTGACTCCTTTTCCCTCGGGCTTTTATATGTGGAAAATGGATTCTGTTCTTAAATGCAGCCAAGGGGTGTTTGTTGGCATCTGCTCTTTCTAAGAATGGAAAATTTTCCTGTGATGTATAAGACCTCACTGATGATTCAAGCACTTTGCTCAGGCCAAAGCTTTATTTACATGGTGAAGGGAACCACCCAAAATATGTGACCCTTTTGCCTGTGAAGGAGCAGAGGTGAACATGAACCTTCCCTAGGCTGACAGGTTCTTGGCTGGTTTCTCTCCACCTGTTGTATCCCAATATTATTATTAAAAAAAAATAAATAAAGAAAAAGTTGCCTGACAACCCTGCCAGTTACACTAACATTACACACTACATAATGCATCGTGTTGGCATCAAATAGCCACAGAGGCTTATTTGATGTAATTTGATTTATTTAATGGTGCCATTTAATAAACAGCATAAGAAGCAAGTGCATTGACTTTGACATTTCCTCAGCTACTACTGTTTTCCATAGTAGTTTGAAGTATCCTGAACTGGAAAAGTAGTGGTTGAAACTGAATCTCACTTGGAAGTTGCTGTTCTCTGCTGTGGAGCTTAAATTAAAAAAAAATACAATAAAATCCCAATAAACAGTTACTTGGGTGTTGTCAGGTTTCCTCCAGACATAAAGAAAACATGGTGGTAATTTGGATTCATCTTGGTGGAAGCAGACATGGATCCTGATGAAAAGAGCATTTTTTTTCTGGGAAGAAGAAAATTAAATGAACTAATGCATTACATGGAAGTGGTCCTGTTGGAATCAGTCATGAAGGATTGAGTCTTTTATGTGGATAATATCCTTTTCTTCTCCCTCTAATTCAGCTTTAATCATTAGGAAATACTGTTGGGGATCAAGTGGTGAGAGGTTTGAGAGGTGCTGGATGTCACTGTGTTGGTGACAGGACAGCAGTCTGACCATGAGACACCCTCTGCTTAATTGCTGCAGAGACAAGAGTGAAGGGTTCAGGTGGAGTTCCTCACTCCATGGGAGTGGTGGGCAGTGATGAGCTGAGTCCCAGTGCCTGATGTAAATGAAGAGAATTTAAATTCTTGCTCATCAAGGACTGTGATTTGATAGAAGGACCGCGAACAGACAGATGTGTGTCAGAAATGGTGATGGGGTGGGGTTATTGCTGTTTTACTGCTGTCTTACTTGATGGATTTTTAATTGTTTCTTCCTCTCTTTCCAGAAGGTACCAGGAGCATCTGGTGGAGCTTTACCAAAAAGGAGGAATGCTAAGCTATTTTTAGGTATTGTGAGCAGCTGCTTCCACACAGTCCTTTTCTGACCCTGTCTCCCTGTGTACTTGGGTTCTGTCCACCATTGTGTCTGGCTTTGGGGCTCCTTGTGGGTTTTCTTTTTCTGTTGTTTGGTTTTTAACTTTTGGCACTCGTTTTCAAAGTTTGTCCGGATGAATAAGTAATTCTTAGCAATTTTGGTGCATATTGAGAGATGTGTATATATATACATGGAACACTTTAATCTAAACTAGGCCTTCAGCTATTCTCAAACAGCTTAGGCTCTGATAACATTTTTTGACTAATTCTGTCCATTCTCTCTCTTTGTGATTTCCACAAAGCACCCTTTTATAAAAATGTTTATCTATACTTAATGTTTAGATATAGCAGGGCCTCAGTGTGGCACGGTTCTGCTCAGCAGCTGGTCATAGGAAGGTTTGTTACCATTTTAAAATTGTTACACAGGTAAATGTTCTTAAGTGATGTCATGGTCTCTCCTGGAATGAATGCAACTGTATATATCACACCAGCATCTCTAATTCTGCAGCATCCACAGCTATATCCCCTTGCTTCATGGAAAGCAGTTTTCTTACCGTGTCCATATCATCCAAAATCCATTTATTCAGATTACCCAGAAAACCTGAGGGCCTCATAAATATGGATGAAGAGAACATGATGCAAAACCTATATTCTCTCTTCTCCTACTGTTTGTGGTATTTCTCCAATCCATGTATTATTTATTCTCTCTGTATTCATAGTGAATAGTGAATTTTTTCTTCAGGAAATGCAGAGGTTAAATGTTTTCTTTACAGTTGCCCGCTCTTATGGCTAAAGGGAAACAATAGCATGACCTTCTTTTTGATCTGTGGAACGTGTCCCTAAGAGACCTCTGCAGATTGTGATCGATTAAATTGTTGTTGTTAATGTCTGGAGGAAGTTTTACAAGGACTGAGAAAGAAAAAGGTCTGAAGATGAGTCATAAAGAACCCAAACTTCTTTTGTAGGAAAAGCCTGTTACATCACAGATGCTGGTCTAAATGCCATTTACTGCCAGTCTACATTGAAAATAATGATTGTCACTGGATGCTTAGAATTGGTTCAGAAACAAAGCTGGCTGCAGTGCAGCAATGGTTGTACAGTCTTAGCAACATAAGTGTAAACATGAAGTACAAAAGTATGGTCAGCATCTGTTCTTGCTGATCTTCTGCCTATGTTTGGAGGAGGCTCCTGTCGCTGGGCTGTGCCAGCACACAGGGTACTGGCATAGTCTCTGATGTGCCATGATGAAGTCTTCAAACTCCATCCTTGCACACGAGCATTTTGTTCCCACTGGGTAGACCTGGCTCTGCAGTTCCAAGTGCTCCCAGCCCCAGGGAACTTCTGAAGGCAGTGCAGTTTCACTGGGGTGGATTTAGCACATGGAACTACCACCATTTAATCCAGTACTTCTAATGGACTATCTCATCTGGTCAGTTGTTCTACTTCAGTCCCTGATAACTGGGAGTAAAATGGTATTAACTCTCTGCTCTGATCCTGGAAATAGTACTTCCATGCATCCAAATGCTTTGTATCCATTTCTTTGGCTCAGCAGATTTTACTAATTTTTAGCCATGCTTAAAGTAAAGAACAAAGAATTACTGCTCTGCTTGTTCATAGCTGAGGAAACAAAACCACAGAGAGGTCAGCTGATTTGATGATTTTGCATGTGACAGCAGAAGAGGTGGTTAGCAAAATTTGGCATCTTATCTCTTAATTCAACATTTATTTCATTGGTTAGAGCTGCTGGACTTCTCATCTAAACAGGTTGTTTTAGTTCTGTCTTTCTCACTGTGTCCTTGGGCACCTGTCACAGAAAGGCTGAGGTTGGAAGGGACCTCTGTCGATCATCTGCTTCAATCCCCTGCTAGAGCAGCTTGCACATGATCCACTCCAGGGGTGTTTTTAATATCTCCAGAGAAGGACACTCCACAGCCTTTCTGGGGCAGCCTATTCCAGTGCTTTGTCACCCTCAAAGTAAAGAAGTTTTTCCTGATATTCAGATGGAACTTCTGTGTTTCAGTTTGTGCTTGTTGTGCCTTGTCCTGTCCCTGGGTACCACTGAAGAGAATCTGACCCCATCCTCTTGACATTAAGATAATTGTATGCATTGATAAGGTCTCCTCTCAATCTCTTTTCCAGGTTGAACAGGTCCTACCCTCTCAACTGTTACTCATAAGAGAGATGCTTCAGCCCCCTAATCATCTTTGTAACCCTCCAGTGGACCCTCTCCAAGTAGTTCCTTGTCTTTCTTGGGCTGGGAAGCCCAGAACTGGACACAGTACTGTAGGTGCTGCCTCACCAGGGCAGAGTAGAGGGGGAGGATGATCTCCCTGCATCTGCTGGCCACACTCTTCCTGATGCCCCATAGGATTGGCCTTCCCTGTTGCCTTCTCAGAGGACACAAGGACATGTTGCTGGCTCATGGTTGACTTGTCCTGTGGCAGAGGTTTGCACCAAACTGGCTGCTACCAGCCCAGGTGTGTAACCTGCCATCTGGGGCTCACCCTGTCAGATAAAAACCAGACAATGATCAGTGGGTAACTCTAACATTCCTGTGTTTCTAGGTGTCTTTGAATAATTTCCTGAGGGCCCAGAGATTTAAGCTTTGTGTACAAAGTCAATCCAGTTTGGGCATTCGTTACATTGCTTGTTGTAATCCTCTTTGATGTAAAACTATTAAAGATACTAAACCCTTTTCAATCTCCTTAGTATTAGGAAAACATCTTTTGGGTATTCTGATTACTTTCTAGCACTGCTGCTATCTAGTAAATGCAATAGGAACACAGATTGGTTGGGTCAGTCAACTGGAAGATTTATCTTTCCCTAGACATGAGAAGATTCATAGGAAACTGCATGTGCACACATGCCTTAGGTTTGGGGCACGTTTTGGTTTGGTTTTCTGTTGGAGAAGGCTGTGAGTATTCTATATAATCAGGAGGCATAACAGCATTGTTTATTGAAATGTATGCACTGCCTTTAACCTGGCTGGTTTAGGTGTTGCTGGATAGTGTGGACAGGATAACTTCAGCTCAGGCTGTGCAACCTTTCAGGGAATTTGGGGTGGTATTTAAAGCAGACTGTCAGGATGCATGGAATAGTATCCTCACTGCATTGTTATCTAGGCGAGCAAGTTTGGAGGTATTTTGTGCTTGTCAAGTTACCTGTTGCAGTTCAGAGAGCTGGTTCTGAGAGAGAGATGGGGTGAATTGTTTTCTAAAATATCAACTCAGTTGTGAAAGAGTCAAGTGGAACATCAGTAGAACAATATTTTATATTTTGTTCTCTATAATTTTGCTTTATAAATAGGAAGTGAACCTCTCATTTAAATAGAGAAACTACATCTGCACACAGTATCTCCCCCTTCTTCTCTTTCTCCAAAACCAACCAGAAAACACACACACACACACCCACACACACACACACACTCCACACCACTACCCACCCCAGGTAGATATCTGGAAGCTAGGATGTGAGCATTGAGGGAGGAATCACCACATTTTTGCCTTGTTCTCGTACCCACTTCCTGACATCTTTTGGTCCATGCCAAGCCTGCACCCTGGGCTAAACAGAGCTGGCACAGTGGCTGCCATAAAACTTGTCTGTAGACAGATGTCCTCTCCCAGATCGGTTACCAGAGCATTATCTGCCAGTGCAGCAAGCTGTGGGAGATCTGTTTTGAGCTAAGTCAGGGCTAACTTAGACCATCAATTAAAGGTGTTTTGAAGTCCTCAGATGAACAGCTCTGTCAGCAGATCTGTGGGGGTGGTGGTGAGAAGAGTGCCAGTGAGGAGCAGTATCTGTGACACGCAGCTGGTCTCAGAAGGTCTCAGAAAGGAAGACAAAACTTCCATTTGGAGAGTCTGGGACAACTTGTAAACTTGCTGAGCTTTTCGTGGATGGCACCTGCCTGCCAGTGGCAGGGAATGCACTCATGGCTGCTGTTTCTGAGTGTAAAGACCATTCCTAAGAGTGGCTGTACTGGATCTGACCACAGCCTCGCTCAGTTCTCCCAGGTCAGGAGCAAAACCCTGTTTTCAGTGAGGCTACTTTTGTTCGGTGAGCTTCTGAAGAGGACTTTTACCATGAGTGGTTTAAGTTTATAGAGTATATATCTATGAGTGAAAAGCTGTGATGTAGGAGAATTTGAGCATCTCCTGACAATATTTTGACAGCTTAGCCCAGTAAAGTTGTGCATACCCCCAGCAGCTGTAGTGGAACTGATTAGACCAGGAGTGACCCTGTTGCTTTCTGGCTTTGCCATCTAAACTTGAATTAAGTATAGAATGTTAAGCAGATACCTTACACTAATTGAGTCTTAATAGATTGCTGATTTAGGTAGAACTGTGAAAATTAGGCCAGATTAACACAAGCTAATGCTTCTACCAAAATAGTTGAGAATTTGAATTTTGGTGGTTTAGTTGGCTTGTTTAACATGTGACCGTGCCAGAAATACAAGGGGTGATGTCTAGTGTAGCCATAAGAACAGCATACTAATGCTTTGGAGACATAGAGAGTGATTTGAATGCTATTTTATAAGTAGTGAATCATCTAAGTGATCCTAGTAGGAAGTTTTGCTTTTCCTTTTTCTGGAAAGCAAAATGTTATGACTGTAAAATGATTTGGTTTGGGTTTTTTGTTTGTTTGTTTTGTTTTGTTTGGGGTTTTTGTTTGTGTTTTTTTCTTTCCTTCCTTTTTTTTTTTTTAATTTTTTCTTCTTTATAGTTTATCAATGAAGTCAGGGTTTTGAATGTGCCCGAAAATAAATGAACTGAATAGCTTATATTTTGCAAAGATGCTGCTGCTGCTGCAATTCACTATTATTTAGAGGCTTCAGGAAGAAATTATTTGAATTGAAGACTCAGGCCTCCACTTCCAAGTCCATGCAAACTTGTTCATTGCTTTCAGTGAGAACAGGATCGAGCTCAGATTCCTAAGGTGTCTTTCTGGGGTTCCAAAATTAGTTGTAGACTCGCTAGTCAACATCCTCATCCAATTTTCATGTTTGTATTCCCTTTCACACACACACACAGACACATCCATATGGGCAGGAAATCCTGTTTGGGGGTCCTGTCTGGAGTCTCCTTATGCCCCTATTATTAGTGCAGTCAGTTGGTAACTTGTCTAAATCTGATCTGGGCACATCCACTCCTTTTCTTCCCCTCTGCTGGGTTGGTTTACATTACAGTACTCTGTCTTCCAGCTGCTGTTTTCAGTCAGCTCAGCTGCAGTGCCTTTCTCACCGTCACCAAGTGATGTCTCTGAGGTGGAGTAAATTTACTCTACTGACCACTTGCCCAAAATAACAACGTCAGTCAAGCCTCTGTTTTAACATGTCTGTTACTTTGCCTGTCGTCCTGGCCTCCCAACACAACATTTATGACCTATGGGTACTTTGTTTTAGTGGCTGCAGTGTTTGACTGGGACTGTTAGTCCACTAGAAGCAAAATAATGTCATGTGGACATTGACCATCAAGCTGTCACTCTTTGAAAAGATTCCAGACTGGTTGGTTGTCTTGTGGCTAAGTCCTAGAACTGAGTAAAGCCTCTTTTTTGCCCAGAGATGCAATCACAGTGCATCTTGGAAGAAGATCTTTGTCCAAGGCACAGCTTTTGATGAAATATAATTCTTGAAACTTCATGTTTTTCAGTGCCTTCAGAGTAATTTTTAATCAAATATGCTCTGTTTGCAAGTAGATTCCACACTGTTCCTCTTTCCTATAGTTACTCTTGTTCCTCTCCCAAATTCTGCACTAGTTTGAAACTGCCTGCAGACTGCACATGATGCCCATGGTTTCGGGGTCAACCTCTGCCCTCATTTAGTGTGGGCTCCACTGCCTTCCAAAATTACAGTCATCTGTTTTTATTATATCTATCTTCATGCTTTCTCAGCCATGCTGAGGCCCTTGCACAAGCACAGAAAATATAATGCAGGTAGAACTTTCTACTGCACTTAACCACTATGGCTCTCAGCACACACAGGCCAAGATTTAAAAATACGAGTAGTTATTTGGGGGTTTTCAACTAACATCCTTTAGGGGTCTCCTTGACAGTCAGCCAAAGGGATTTGTTTGTATGGTCATCTGCTGTATCAAGGGATTTCCCTCAGTGACCTTAGAAGTCCTTTCCACTCTCATATACTGGGGTCTGGACCCTGAGAAACTGTCTTCAGACTGATAATTACCAGAAAGCGCTGGCAGTCCCTTTTAATTCCTAGTCAGAGGGAGTAGATGTGTGGGTGCAAGTGTACCAGCTTGATATGGTCCCCTTCAAAAGCCAGTGAAACCCTCATTGCGTTTCCTGGGACTGTTATGAAGCTGTATGGCTCCTTCTTTAAAATAAGGCATGTGATGCTGCCAAACTGGAGTGTCACACATCCAGAGTCCCATGCTGATGGGACACTGTTTTCTGCCTTTCTGCTGACGTGAATGGCGTGAAGGCTGAGAAGGTAAAAAGGAACTTCCCTTCCCTACCCATTGCACACGGAAGGCTGATGCTCCCAAGCATGTGAAGTCCTTAGGTGGCAGCAGATGATTGCTAATAGGATACTCAGCCTTTCATCCCTGGATCACTGGTTCAAATGCAGGTCAGGTCAGCAGCAGTGAAGTCTCTGCTCCCTGGCTGTTGTGAGATGAGCTGCAGTGTTTGCCTGCAGAATTTTGAACAGAGGCAGCAGTGCCATTGCTGTTCCTTGTACAGCAGATTGTAAATGCTGTAAACTCAATGTCAGTATCTCAAGGAGATGAAGATACTGGCGGGTCTTACACTTGTGCACTGATCCCAGCAGTGAGCTGGCGCCAGGTTCCCTCTGGTGGCTGAGGCAGTGTGTGACCGCAGCCCTGGGAGAGGCATTTGCTGCCTGCAAACCTGGCTGAACACACAATGAGTTTTTATCCACTGTCCTGTTTAGGAGGTGGTCTGTAATTCTGGTTTTGCCATGTTGGTCTCCACCAAATTTCTGGGCATTATGTGAAAATTCTCTGTGATGTGTTGCCATGTCTATCATGAGCTTGGAGATACTAATTTCTTTGCTCAGAGCAAAAGAGCAACCACAGATTGCACCTGTGGAAATTGGCTCATTTATCAGACACAGGGCTCTAATACAACCTGGGAAAGAAGCCTGGAGTAAAGTGAGATTTCTGGTCATCTCTGTTATGCTTCAGCAGGAGAAGGGCTCATTATGAAAAACGTGTGATTTGTGGAATTACTAATGAATTAATATTTTCTGTATAAATGTCATGCTTTCGGTATGAGAAAAAGTTCTTGCTTTTGTGTCTGTGTTGAGCTGATGAGAAGGGGCTTTTGTTGGTGGCTGCTGAGAGAGGGAGAGAAGTCATGCTGCTGGAAGTCACTGACAGTGGGTGTTGTCACCCCTCAGGACTGGCTGGCGCAGCAGGTGAGCCAAGAATCGATGTTCCTCTCAGGAGGTCAAGTTAAAATATCTTTTGATACTTGTTTTATCATTGGGGTTGTTCAGTCTGTTACTGCACTCTGGGTAAATGGAGAGCTTAATTTTCTGTGTCTGGCTTCTGTTATTCTCACCTCTCTCAAACATACAGTTGGGATTTCAGGCATTCCCAGGGGTGCAGTGGTTGCTGCCAATGCTCGGTTAGTGTTGAGGGACTCATTAAGGATATGCATGTGCTTGGAATGGAAATAAGAGCCAGCTTGGGCTACCACTAATGCATCTCATTTTTGGTTGAGCTTTATTCTATCAGTGACTGTCTCATACATCAGAATACAGTAGATCCCACATCTCCAGATAGGAGAAGGATCCAGAAGATCCCGTTGTTGTCTGACATGTTCTTGCAGCTGAATTTTTTTCAATGTCTGACACAGTATGTACATGTTTGGTCTAAACTTTTTCATTTGTCCTGGAAAGAACTGAACAAGATTTTAACTCAAGTCTTGTCACTATGTGATATATATGTTAATTAATAATTATATTTTTTCATGAAGATAGAGATACAAACACTATCCACTTAGTTCCCTCCTGGCTTTTCTCTGGGTCCACATATTTCTGGACAAGCATTGCAGCTGATGTTGCATGATCAAAGCTCATATTTAAGCAAAAAAATAATTCTTACAGTGGTAGAATGTATACAAACACTGTGGAAGGCTTGGTCTTCAAAAGAAAGCTTTAATAGTTAATGCATGCTTTTCAAACTAATAGTTACAGTGGTTAAGGAGTGGAGAGGGATAATGTTAGTGTTAACTGTACTTGCTGTAGCTATTTGAGACTATGGATAAGATGCAGGAATGCTTCCAGACAGGGACATCTTCATGGGAAGAAAGGACGCAGATTCAAGATGGATGGGAGCCATAGCACGTTTCAGCCAGGTCTGTGATCTGGAAAATATGGGGTGCTCTTTATTTATTTGTGCTCTGCAATTTGGGCATGTGTGGTGTGCCCTGGTCTCCATACTGAACAGCATTTCAAGATCCTGGGTAAAAGACACAGCAGTATTACACCCTGATTTCTGTCCCAGATGAGCAGAATTTTCTTAACTGCTTTGTGGAATGTGATGTCTGCAACAGGGCAGTGCCTGGAGAGGAGACAAATCAACTGTGCCTGTGACTTGGGATGACATTAAGTGGAAGTTTTGGTCCTCAGTACATCCTCATGCAGGATGGTCAGATATCAGTTCAGACCAGGATTTCACAAACATTTCTAGCCAGAAGACACTACTGACAGTGTCAACATGCAGGCTGATGCCAGGCAAGCAGTGCTTATAGTGGTACCCCCGCCACAATTTCGGAACCTCGGTCGCGGGGCAGTCTCCTAACATTCCCCATCTTGTTTTCCAGATCTAGAGACAAACAGTGATCTCAACAGTGAGGACTTTGAATATGAAGATGAAGCAAAACTTGTCATATTTCCTGATCACTATGAAATCTCATTACCCAATATAGAAGAGTTACCAGCACTGGTCAGTGAGTGTGTGGAAGTGGTCATAGGAATTGTTTCCTGTTTCTGTTTTTACTTTGTTTTCTTATGTGTGGTGCTTGTTTGGACATAAAGATCTTTCTTAACAACTTTTATAAGTTGTCCTTGTTTCTTGGATTTCCTTTACCTCCTGTATTCCTGCCCTTATGGTGCCAGCTTGTCCTAGGAAAGCTCACATAGTACATGTGCTTACTCTCCTGCTAAAATAATAACAGCACTCTAAAAGATTAGATGCATATTTGAATGTATAAATAGCCTTACTGATAACCAGTTCTGTGTGTGGTTAGCAATAGGCTGAAGGCCAAGTTCTGTCCAGTCACTGAACTGTGTTAGGTTTTGATTGACACGCATTTGTCTTCCAGGTGACGATAGCTTGTGACGCGCTCCTCAGTGCAAAATCACCCTACAGGAAGCAGGAACCCGACTCCTGGGAAGAAGAGCTACAGGCATCTAAACACGCCAAAACACTTGTACAGTTAGACAATGGTGTTAGGATTCCCCCCAGGTGAGGGTGATGAGGTTTGTTCCTTGTAGGCTCTCTAATCCAGGCCAGGGTAACTAAAGCCAGGAACTCGGCCCACAGTTCCCTTGCCTGACTCGGGGCTGGGTGAGTGGGTTGGTTTGACCTGCCAAAATGGGAAGCACAGGACTGGTTCCTGCCTTACATCTTTCTGTGGTTTCTTCCCGTTTCCTCTCGCAGTGGTTGGAAGTGCTCAAAGTGTGACCTGCGGGAGAATCTGTGGCTGAACCTGACAGACGGTTCCGTGCTGTGCGGGAGGTGGTTCTTCGATGGCAGTGGGGGCAACGGGCATGCCCTGGAGCACTACAAGGAGACGGGTTATCCCCTGGCAGTGAAGTTGGGAACCATCACTCCTGATGGAGCAGGTCAGCCACGTGGCATGTTTTGATGTGAGGTGTCTGTTGTGCATGAGGCTACTACCAGGAGGGTTTGTGCTTCTGGTGCAAATGTTTGAAAGTGGGGTATGGAAAGGAAATCCTGTGAGTCTGGGAATCTTGATTAGGGTTGGGGGGAACAACACACACTCCATTCAGAGAAAGCTCTTCTTTTCCTGTTTTATATTCTGTGTAAATATTTTTTTTTTTAAATTTGTGTAATAGTAGACTTATGATAGAAGAATGGTTTTGTTTTGAAACAACAGTGGAGAAACAGTATTTTTTTAGTTCTGCTACATTTGCTAGGGCAAATGGTTCAATCTCATATAACAAAGAAACAAAAGCAGGGTAAAGAGGTTATAAATTCAGAAAAGTCTGCTTGTAACAGCATGTTTGGGGTTTTTTAATTATAACTGGAAACTGCTCTTTTTTCTTATTGAACAAAATGTTGCTGAAACAGTCTAGTGAACGCTCATCTTCAGGGGGATGATGAGATGCTCAATTGTAAAATGCCTCAAGATCTTGAGAGAGAAAAAAAAAGCTGTAGTTGTATCCTTGCTTGCATATTCTCCAAGTGTGATGTTCTGCAGCGTTGCTGCAGAGGGGATTATGGCATGTGAGGATTAGATGGAATAAAAATGTGAGAAGCTGAAAAAGTCGTAAGCAAAGAGATGTTTTGCTCCAGCTGTATGGAGAAATAAAAATGGAAGAACTCACAGCATGATTATATTTTGGTTTTAGTCCTCATGACTACAGGAATGAAAAATAGCTGTTTAGAGCAGCCCCTTTTTTTCAACAAGAATCATTTGAGAGTTTTTCTGAGTTTTTTTCAGTGCCAGGGGAAGTAGACTGTAGTCAGATTCAACCAGCCGTGCCAGAGAAACATTAAACAAAATTCATTCTTTTCTCTTCCAGATGGAATATTATTTCCTTGCATGAGCCTGACCTTGGATGATTTCTATCCAAATCTCAGTTACTGAGGGTGTTTAGGATTTGCCCAGCTGTAGGTTTCAACTGCATCTACAAAAGAAACAGCGTATTCTTTAGTGGTTTTTTTCAGGTTTCTCCTCCCCCACTTCTTTTATTTCTCATCTTTAGCAGCAATACTTGTTTCCTTATGGCTGCTGTCCTTGTGCCTTCCACTGATCAGCTACTTCCTCTTATGTGGCCTTTGGGATAACAAAGGACAGGCTGTCATCCTTCCCTCTGAATGAGGGGCACCAGCTGTTCTCCACAGACCTTTGTTCTTCTGGGTGATGTTTACTTGGTTTCCATATAGAAAAGACTTCCCTCCCCCAGCCTTCCCTGTTTCCTTTTCAGCAATCATTCTGTCTATGAGCTGTATTTCCGTGGTACTCATAACCCCTCGACAGGGCTGGGTGACAGATGAGCTTCAGGAAAGAGGCTCCGTGGTTGATTGTGACACAAAGTCTGTCTGTTTTCTGCTTCCCTGGGCTAGGGGTGAAGAGGTGATGGTAGAGGAGTAATAAGCATTAGTGCCTCTCCTGACATAAATTATTCCTTTTTCACACCAGTAGGAAAGAGAAAGAGGTGATGCCTCTGCCTGTACACGGAGGAGAGCTCTTTGTCTTGCCCTGAGAAGTCTGTGCTGTGCACATTGTGAAAGATTTCTGAGGCAGTTAGCCCCGTTTTGTAACATTCTGTCACATCTGGGATCAGGGCAGAAATTGAACCAAAGTTTCTGCTCTTGTACCTTGGACAGGATGCACCAGAAAGTCAGACAAGTTGGTTGCCTCAGTAGGTTGAGCACCACTGGGCAGACTGTGCTACCTGCTGGCTCTCCAGACAGTGCCATTAGATTTCAAGTCACTGTGAGGGGGCTTGTTTGGAAATAGATTAAGGCATGTGATGGGGGATTGGCAGGGGGAAGCCCTGTGTGGCAGGTACTTGAATGAGTTCCTTTGTGGGTGCTAATGTCAGCAGTTGTCAGATAATTCTGGGGGGATCCCAAGCAACTTGTTTCCACAGGGACAGTGTTGACATTGCCTGTTACTGGTTAAGTAGGAAGGACTGATGTCTACACAGCCAGAACAGGTGTAAATCTTGAGCTGTCAAAGAAAAGGAAGTACAGGTAGCATTGGGTTTTTTCTTTTCTTACAGTAACAGGAATCATAGTGATTATTCCCTGTTTAACAAAATTCTGTGTTATCTCTCTCAGATTTGTCTTGGTGGGAGTTTTTTCCCCTTATATTCCCCCCTTTTTCCTCTTTCTCACTCTAATGATACCAGCCTTTTGTGTGTCACATTTGCTGACTTGTCTACATTCCTCGTCTGCCAAAGTCTGCATGACAGCACTGCAGACCTCCGTTTGGTGACTCTCATCTTCTTTCCTTGATCTCTTGAAAAGTAAATTATATCTTTCTCCCATGAATTTACATTACACAGCAGAAAGTACTAAAGGATATGACACAAGCTGGGCTTAAGCAAAAGATTAATGTGTTCCATTTCTGCTGCTTTGGGTCAGTAGTCCCAGTGGACTGCTCCCTGCAGTTGTCAGAGCAGAGAGAAAACAATATCAAAGCTCCCATATAGAAAGCAGTCACCCAAGTTCAGTCGCTGTGTAATCTCACTCCATTAGGTGTTTGAACTTTTGGCTGCGCTGTGACCTCACCAGAATACTATGGGAATGTTGTGATGTCTTGTGTGTTGATGAACAGTCATGTTTTCTGGGCACGTTTGCTACCACACACTGGAATTCCAGCAGATGGGCAGCTCCAGCCACACACATGCCAGGAAGGTCATTGGGACCAACATTATTAGAGTGTCTGCTGGCTAGAGAGTATTAATAGGTTGAGAGTATTAATGTTTTTCATAAGGCTGGTCAATTTTAAAAGGTGCATTATGGCTTTGAGTTCTTGGCTAAGCTTCAGTCTCTCCTTTCCGTGTGGGTTGGGTACCAACAGACTTCAGTGAGACTGCCCTTTGTGAAAACCTCACACAGGGGATGAGCTGAGTCTGTAGCTGCCAGAGAGGCCAGGGTAAGGACCTTTCAGAAGCTGATATTTGTGCTGTGAGCAGACTTTATCTGGGTTCCTGATGTCTTCTCCTGAGTTTGTTTCATCTTTCCCCTGGCTAAGTTTTCTCTGTCAGCCTAGATCTGGCATTGTGGAACAAGGTCACTGTGAGAAACTCTGCCAGGCATGAAGGGAACTTGTCTCAGAGAAATGCAGGCAGACTGGCAGAGGAATTCTGGATTTTGGTATGAGGAGAGACCAAAGCAGTGAAGTAGTCATTTAATAGAGAGGAAGAGACTTGAGAAGAGAAAAGATGGAAGGCCTGGTCAAGTCTTACTAGTGCTTGTTTTACACTCCTATTTCTTTCTGATGCCTGAAGCTTTATCATTATTTGCTCAAGTAGGTGAAACCTGCTCTGACCTCAGCATCATCATAAGACTTATTTGGTAAACACTAAAAAAAGGGGTTTTCTCTCTCAACTCTTTTGTCCTTCTGTTGAATTTATTAAACTTGGTTTCATATTGAAAATATCATCATTAGATGTGTTGCTTCCCTCTACAGTGTGAACTTTGCCTTGCCAGAATGTTTATGAGCTTTTACTTAAGGCCTTAAGGGGCTATCAGAGCTAGAACTGAAATCTAAATCTCCCATACGATTAAGCAAGACACCTCACTCATAAAATTGTTCTTTCTCCTTACCTGCAAGATTAAATTAATCTTCAAAGTCCAATTCAACGGAATCCATTCCAAAAAAACACCTCTTTCTTTCTAATAAAGAATTTCTCTGTTCTCCCTGCATCTCTGTGGGAACAGAGCATAAATGGATTTCTTAAACTGTACTAGAAATTAAAATACTATGGCTAGTAGTCAGTTGGCCTGATGTACTCATGTTTTTGGTGTGTCTGTTTGTATCTAGCAGCTCTACAAAAATTCAGAATCTCTCACTGTCGTGTTCAAAATGTGGACTGGCCGTATATCTGAGAACTTTGCATGCCTTGTTCCATGTTTTCCCTACAAATGTCTTTTTTGTGGGAGGGGCAATACTATGATCACAATAAATATTTTTAAGTTTTAACACTGTGAAAGCCTGTAATTGCTTTTGAGGAAAGCACTTGAGGTGATTTTGTTGAGAGCATTTAAGGCACGTAGTGAGCTATGTGGTTGTCTGTGCACTTTTCTGCTGGCCATAACCAAACCTGGAAAATATGAACAAGGCATCTTATGTAGGCAGCCCTGTGGTAAACAAAGAGAAGGGGATATCATCTGATCCTTTGGTTTCTCTCTACTTTTGTAGATGTCTATTCCTTTGATGAAGAGGAGCCGGTTTTAGACCCGCACATAGCAAAGCATTTGGCGCACTTTGGGATTGATATGCTGCAGATGCAAGTGGTAGGAAATCCATCTTTTATTTGGTTTGTTGTTTACTTGCTTTTCCAGTTGGGGGTGGGAGAGAAAGAGGAGAAGAATGGCACTTGTAGCTTGTTTGTGTGATTCCTTCCATGTTATAGTATTGAGTTCAGCCAGCCAGTTTGTGTTTTATTGTCTGAGATCCGAGGGAATCATTACTCTCAAATCCAACAGGTTCCTTCCCAAAGAGGTCTTTGTGTTCTCTAGTTTACATTTTTCACTTCTCCTGTGTTATGTACCATTTGCCTTCAAGATGAAAAACCTCATTCAACTAGAGAAGAGTATCTAGAATACTTCATTACAGTGAGGGAAGGAAAGCCTGTTGCATATGTAAACAGATACAAGTCTTAAGCAAAAAGAGGCTAAGCAATGGATAAGTTAAAAAGTGGCTCCAAGTTCTTTATGTAAATTTCAGCTTAGGTTTTGTTAAGAAATGCATTACGAAATGAAAAAAAAAGACATTCAAGTCTAGAAAACAGTGTGGTCTAGGGTGAGATATAGTAGAAAGGGACTGGGGAAAAAAGGGTCCTGTTCCTGAACATGTGTTTGTGTCTGTATTAGCAAAGAAGTACCTCCTATAATTTGGATCTTAGCGGATGTTGATTTCAGTTCTGTTTAAATTACGTAAAAAGTCAGAATAGGGTATGGTTATAGAGGCAGGTGGGGGTTTAGTTGTTATGTTGGGGGTTTTGTAGTTTGTTTTTATTTTTTTGTTTTGTGTTTTTTGTTTTGTTTTGTTTTGTTTTTGATTTTTTTTTCACTCAAGTACATAACCTAGTATCACTACCTGAGAACCTGAACTGCTAAAAATGAACAAACATGATACTGGCTTAGTGTATTTCATTGTCCAAGGGGTGAGAAAACTAACGATAACTGAAATGAGAGAGAAGAGTTACACTTTAGTTTCAAAAACCTTTGTGGTACTAATAATATTTTTGGTGTACTAATGTCCTTGCCAATATAATGAATAATAAGTTTCTTTTATCCAGTGATCTTTCTGGAAAACCTGTTTTACTCAGCAACCTCAAAAATTTAGTCTCAGCTGTTGCAAAGGCTTTGCCTCCAGTCTGAACCCTTCTCAGAGAAGTGACACAGTAGTGCCAGCAGTGAATGACACTGCAGTGACCTGTACCTACAGGCTGAAGGCTGAGCTGTAAAGGAGAGAAACTTCAGTGCCACAAATTTGGGCTTTTCCCATTTGAAAGAAGGGATGAACAAGTTCTTGGATCTGCAGCTTTTCATGTGGTTTGTTGCTAGGACCAGCTCCTACAGCAGCAGCTGTTCCCAGCCATTACAAGTAGAGTAGAAAATCTGAAAAAAACCCCCAGCTGTGTTTGATGCTGAGGCTTGAGGTCACAGCCCTAAGAGAAGTGAAACTCCCAGCTGAGATTTGAGGTCCCAACTGGGAACACTCGAAGAGCCAGTGGTCTGTGGTAAAGAGCTGAGAGATGTACTGGAGGAACAAGCTGCCAGCTTTCTGTCCCTCATATTCTCCCTTACACGCAGCATTTACCTCCCTTTGCCCATTAATTTGGCCTTTCCTTTTTATGGAGGACAGATCACAAAGTTGTTGGTGATGATGGCAGCAACATAATTGCTGCAGAAGCTACACAGATTAAAAAGAAAATCTTGTTGCTTTCAGACAGAGAACGGGCTGAGAGATAATGATATAAAGCCAAGAGTCTCAGAATGGGAAGTGATTCAGGAAGCTGGCGTGAAACTCAAGCCCATGTATGGCCCAGGATACACTGGCATAAAGAACCTGGGAAATAGCTGCTACCTCAATGCTGTCATGCAAGCCATTTTCAGCATCCCAGAGTTCCAGCGAGCGTAAGTAGCTTCACACCAGATCTTGTCACTTGCTGCTGCATTGCTCAGTTTGTTGTTTTTCTAAGAAAAATGGTGCTTTAATTTTTGTCTCCCCTGCAAGTAGACCTCTTTCAGTCAGTTCAGTGGCTGCTTAGAGGATTTGGTGATTTTGTTGATCTGGAAAAGGTTGGAAAAATCTGCCAATCTGCCTTTGAAACCAGAACTTACTGACTTAGCTTAAGTGGTGGGAAATCATGTGCCACCTTGTAAATTTGATGTCTCTGTCTCTGCTGTTTCTATGCATATGCACACATCCCTGTTTGTCTTGGTATCATCAGTATCACATTAGGGGTTTTGTCCTGGGTCCATGCCTTTGTACCACTGCAGGAGACATTCTGTTGCTCCAGTGGGATTTGTGCAAAAAACTGGCACAAACATGTTAATATTGATTCATTCCAGTGGAAAACAATGCACCTGTTGCATGCAGGTCTGGCTAAGGAGGGAAACTACCAGAGGCATATTTTAATTAAAATTTTTAAAATCATGAAAAGGGTAGTGTAAGCCTGTTCTTCCCCTTAATAATTAAGAGGACAAAAGCACAGTAGAAGAATATGAAATACTCCTGGCGGCCAAAACTGAACACATCACTCCAAAGAGAGAAGCCTTTTTATAAAGGACAGTTGTCTGTGGTTTGAAGTAAAATTCAGAGTGCCCTTTCATTCCACAGCACCAGTAGTGCATGTGCTGGAAGTAAAGCTTTTAGATTTTGGAAAACCTGCCAGATTTTCATGTTAGAATTGCCTTCTGGAGAAGAAGAGGGAGAAAACTTGTGTTTGCTTACTTTGTTGGCCATATGGAGTACAGTCTGTAAATTCATTAGGTTCCAGCTCTTCTACCTCCAATGCTGATAAATATCAAAATAAGTTTTATCAAGGAAGGTAATTTTCCCTAACATGGGCCTTGGATTTACCTGGAGTACTTAGAATCAACAAAGTAGTGGAGATCTTTGGAAGAGGGACCAGGCAGAAATCAGGTGTATTCTTTCAGTATGGCCACATCTACCTAGCCTGCTTTTATTTGTGCTCAGAGAGTGTGCTGCTCAATGCTTCACTTTCCAACAGATTGGGTAGAATGGTGTATGTTCTGGTGTCAGAATGGTACTATTTTGAATTTATTTGCTTATGTTGGTTAGGAGTAGAAAGTACCTTGGTTCTCAACTCAGCTCTGTGTTTTTGAGCAACACCGTGGTGCAGCTCTTTCAAGATCAAGGAATAGAATTTAAATTCCAGATGAACAAGACTGCCATATCCTTTATATCTAGAAGCTTCTAAGTAAAACCTCAATGTCTGTTTCCTAATTTCTTTACTATTGAAATTAGGTGAGAAGCACTCACCAAGGATAGATTGAATCATTAAGCTGCAGTATTTGAACGTTTGTGGTTTGTTCTTGCTGCCCAGGTATGTGGGAAATCTCCCACGAATATTTGACTACTCTCCTCTTGATCCAACACAAGATTTCAACACTCAGATGTAAGTTTCCTCAGTTATTTACTTGGTCAACTTAAATAGAATCTTATGGCAGGGCAAAAGAACACCTTTTCGTGGGCTTGAAAGTGAGACATGACACAAGGTAGAATGGAAAGATTTCCCCACTTAGTTGCAGGTAATGATGTTTCATTTCAAAAGCAGCAAGCTTCTTTTTTGCTTGAAATAAAAGTCTTCTCTCTTTTCTGTTTTTCTCACATATTTGTTTCCACCCCACCTTCTTCCTTACAGGGCTAAGTTGGGACACGGCCTCCTTTCAGGCCAATACTCTAAGCCACCCATGAAATCTGAGCTTATTGAGCAGGTGATGAAAGAAGAACACAAGGTATTTGCCTGAGTTTGTACAGCTTGGTAACGAGGTAAAAGTGATATCCTGAGAAAAGGGAACAGGTGCTGGGCATTGAAGAACACGTGTGGGTCCAGCATGGACGGGATGCTTAGCAAGGTGGAATGTGCAGGATACCAGTCAGGGATATATTAGTCAGGCTCTATTTGTGCAGCACATTAAAGCAAGCATTGGTTCTGCTAATAAAGTATTCTGCTGCTCCAGTGATGAGTGCAAATGTTCATGGAACTGGCAACCAACATTTATCTTCTCTGAGGAACAAAAAAAATCCAGAGAGTCCTGAGTATTTGGAAGCAAGCTTCTAAACCCTCTGTAAATTTCAGAAAGAAGTATAAAGAGCTAAAGGACTCTTTCCAGGAAGGGTCTGATAATATTCCACCAAATTTCTGTAGAAGTTGTCTAGGTAATGCGAGATTAAGTGGTGCTGGAGGTTTTTATGTAGATGGAGGGGCCATGCAGAGTCACAGAAGTGATGCATGTTTCTGCCACAGAGCCATGGTGATAGTTTCCATGGAAATAGATGTTTTCCTCTACCTTCGTCTATCAATTAATTAATATAGGAATTTCTCCTGAAATCAGAATGCCAGTGAGATTTTGGACAGGTGGAACATCTGATACAGAGTAGTTTACATGATCTGGAAGTCCTGTGTCTCCTTGGTTTGTACAGTAGCTATTCATTGTTTTGGAACAACAAATAATGAATCCTGCTTGTCAAAGCTTATCAACCCACCCCTGGGACTGAGGAATATTGGAACAGATTTCACCATACATTGAATTATGTGTGTACTGACTGACGTGCTTTGCCTCACACACACAAGATGTGAATGAAGAATAATGTGCTGGAAGTTCAGGGACCCAAATCCTTCAAATAAAGCTACACCTCCGTGTTTAGCCCTGCACCCACTACTGGCAATGAGATATTGAGAACTTTGTAATGACAGATGGTATAAAACTCTGTTAGGTTATAGTAGGCATCTACTGGCATTTAACACTGCTTGTGTTGTTCCTAAGTGCAGTTTAATAAAGTTGAAGTTACATGCCTCAAATGACTTCCTTATCAAGCAATTCATAGCAGATATTAGGATTTGAAACAGCTTTTACAGCTTTTGTTCCTTGTTGTATTGAAGATTAATTTTTAAAAAATCAGGTATAGATATTTTCTCCATTCCTTCACTCTGGGAATGTGAATCCATGTGTTTTTCAGCTTGAGGATGCTTTTTTTTTTTTTTATTTGGTGCCTTCCTGCCCCATCAACAATGCTGATATACATTGAGATATTATTTTGTCTTTCAGAGAGTTGTGATGATTTCTTTAATAAATATAACCGGATAGAATTTTAGACCTCCAGTGTTTTCAAGTGCTTCTGCTTTGTGTCTGTAAAATCAATTATTCATTTTATTTTTTTCCTTTCCTTTTTTTCCCTCCCTCCTACATGCAAAGAAGTTCTCTAGCTTTCTGAGCCTTTGGAACTCATCCAAAGTTTTGGGGAGTTGTTGCTTGTAGAGGCATTCATATGAGATCTGCAGTGGTCCAGCACAATCTATATTTAGCTAAACTGTTTTGCAACTGTTGATGGGGAAAGTATGTCAGGTATTCTATAAATATTCGTGGAGTTGAAATTTTTCACCACAGGGGTTTAGCCTGGAAATGGCAGCATTTTTCTTGGCCCCACTTTAACATTAAAAAGAGGCTGAAAGCCTAAAGGGTCATCAGCTACTACTTGATTTTCTGCTTAGAGCTTTAGCTTTGGGGTGGTTTCTTGTGTCCTTGAGGTGGAAAGGGTTTAGACTGCAAGATTCCATCCTGCTTTATAGACTGCCACACATAGCATGTTTCTCTTCTTCCTGTTCAAAGTGTATAGGTGTAAATGAGGCTTGATTCCAAACTCACTGCATTATACAGCAGGAGGAGTTGCCACATTCCTGCTTCTGGCACAGGAAGAAGCCTGGTGTGTAGTAGTGTGAGCTGGTTTATGCATTTCTCTCCCCAGTCCTAGTTTTGATGGAAGGCAGTTGAGGACACTGAAGCAAACATAACCCAAAATTCAGAAATCCCTAGAACATCTCTTTGTCCAAGCAATGCTGAGACTCTGTCTCTTGACAAGAGCCTTTAAGGAGCATCTTGGGCTAATGTGGTGGCTGGTGTACTGCCAGAAATTAAAAAAGGATTAAAATTGAGAATCTCCCACTGGTTTCATTGGTTCTAAGAATATTCTGCCCTGTTAAAACAAAGAATAAAATTTTGCTCTGTTAGTGTGCGGTTTTTGTGCCTTCCATTTCATGCTGCTTTTTCTATTTTTATATTGGTGTGATAGTGCAACTCTAGTAATGAATGAGATTGACTGAGTTTTTAACAGCCTCTGAGAGTTATACTCTTGCTTGGATGGGCTTGAAAATTACTTGGTTTCATGGAGGATGAGAGCAAATCTGAGTAAAAGATTCTGACCCCATCAAAAGTGTTATTTAAATGGCAAAATAGCTAGTGTTGTCTTGAGGAACTGGAATGGTTGGGGAGTCTTCTTAAACTAGCATAGAGGATGAGAAAGTCAAAAAACTAGGACTCTCTGAGATTTTCTGATTTAGGGTAGTTTCCTACTGAAAGGCTCTAAACCCCCCAAATGATGTTTCAGGGTCCTTCCCATTTTTATTAAAATGGAAAACAAGATGAAACGGAAAGTATCATTTCTCTAGTGGCAGAAATGGGCCATAGGTAGATCTAGTGGAGTGGCTTTGGGATATTTGGTCCAGGGTTGAATAAAAATATTTCTTTAAAATTTTTCCCTTTGTTTTATTTAGCCTCAACGCAATGGAATATCTCCCAGAATGTTTAAGGCTTTTATAAGTAAAGGCCACCCAGAATTTTCCTCTAATCGACAACAAGATGCACAGGAATTTTTCCTACATCTTATAAATCTAGTAGAGGTGAGAAAATCCCAATTACTGTTTCTTTTCCTTGGATATATTAGAAAATGAGGGCAAATCTGTTATATGAGGGTCTAATTTTTTAATTATAGTGTATTAGACCTTGGATATGTAGAAAATGGCACTAATGGAAATTAATTTTGGTTTAGAAACATTTGTTTCTTTGATTCTTCCTTTTCTTTACTTCAGACTCTTGCATGACCATGCACAGGGTCAATGCTGCTGATAGCAACTGTAAAAGATATAAAGAGGTCAAGCATCACTGTACAGGATATAAGATTTATAAACATATGTGACCTTTTAAATTGCTGTTTGTGTTATGGTTACATGCTATTTGTTTTCTTACCATATTGAAGTATGTCATGGAATATTAATGAATTGGGTATTATTATTATTAGTATTATTATTATTATTCCAAGTTCATATAATCATTGGGAGCAAATTAATTATCCTGTCCAGCTCTTTTAAAAACCCCAGCTGTACATCATCGAATCATGGGAGGAAGGACTCCCCTGCTGAAAACAAAGTAACTGTTTGTCAGATGAATATTTCAGTATAAAACCTTAAGTTCCACTGAGCTCCAGCTCAGTGCTGTGTGTATAAGAACCATACTGTGAATTTTAATGCTGTCTTTCTGAAAAGGAATTCACAAATACATGGAGTTTTGATGTAAAGCATTTCTTGTCTACCCTTCCTCCCTCATTTTCCCATTTTCCCTGAGAATCAAGGGTGTTTATTCATGTGTTACAGTCTCTAGATGAAGTTACTCACATTTGCATGCATAATGCTCCACGTCCCAAAATGCATGTACTGATTATAGGGTGGTTAGAAGACACTTCTCTGCTTCTTGCCTGATAACAGGCATTAACATGAACAACAAGGAGGAGGTATATTATTTGTTTGACGTTCCCATCTGGATAATGAACTACAAGTTGCTTGTTCTGTTTCAGTGTGGATTCAGAGTGGTGGGAGCAATTCTGTTTGCAGAAAGGATGCTCCGTGTTATTTACCTGAGCTTTCTATCTTTATTGTAACCTGCCACCTCCCTGCCTTCTTCTGTTCACCTTGGCTCAGTCAGGTTCATTAGGTACATGCTCTGCAAGTTCCTGTGTAGAGAGATACTGCTGTGGGTGCAGACATTGTGGACTTCAGTTTATTCTCTCTGGGTGTGAGATTTTTGCAATCCAGTGCAAGCTGAGCTGCCAGATCCGGGTGCTAGATGGGTGTCTTCGTGCTTACCATAAAAGAACCAGCAGCCTTTGGGTTGTCTGGTCCTTTTAATGATCATCACATAAGTGATTGGGTCAAATATTCCTTCCAGAGGAACCCTGTGGGTTCAGAAAACCCGAGTGATGTGTTCCGGTTCGTGGTGGAGGAGCGCACGCAGTGCTGCCAGTCCAGAAAGGTCCGCTACACTGAGAGGGTGGACTACATCATGCAGTTACCTGTTGCCATGGAGGCAGCAACAAACAAAGGTAAAGAAAGAAACTGATGTGTTTGACCCAGGGATGTGCCACATCACCTGTAGCACAACGTGTTCGCCCTTGTTCATGTGTGTGTTGCAGGGGGTAGGGGGGTCATGTGTATGCCCAGAGATCCCCATTAGGAATGAATCTCCTGTGTCCTAGACAGTGGAATGGTTTATAAACTTAACTTCATTATAAAAAAAGGAACTGAATATACTAGCTAATAAATACCACCCCCCAAAACTCCAAATCAACAAAAACACCCCGAACTGGCTTTGTGTTTGTTAGCAGCAGATGATAAGATTTAGTATGATAATAGACAATAGGGGTATAAGACAGATTTGTCATCTATAAAGTCAAAATACACAATTTGGATATCCTTTAGGGAAAGAGGATGAAGCATTGGATATTGATTTAATAAACAGCAGTGGCTTTTTGCTGCCTACGAGCTCTCTGGAAAAGGACACTTGTTTTTAAAGGAGATAATGGCTGAGGAGGCTTGAAAATTTAGAAGCAGGAGAGAGGCACTGACAAGTCATGGTTGCCCCTGCAATCAGTGGTGAAGAGTCTTGCAGACTAACAATAAATGTGTGCTTGAGGTAGAAGTGAAGGGGACATCACAGGAACACTAGAAGGGGGATGTGCCTCTGGTTTCATACATAGACTCAATATGGAAAATACTTTTTAGCCAGAGGGAAGTATTTTGATTGTTTGATGAGATCTTTTGAAGTAGCACAAAGCTGAGAAGTCTACCTGTTGCTTTTCACCTGGCCCACAGCTCCTTGAACTGGACAATAAGTTTAGGATAACTCTGCAATCTTTGTTCATCGGTTTCAGTAATGATTCTGTTGCTTATAAAACAGCATGTTATTTCCAGGTAATGACTCAGAAGATAGATTAGTTTATAAATTTGCCATATGACACTGCTCAGCTTGCTGGTGTCAGGACTTTTTCTAGATCATACATAATCCTGTCCTGTCCAGATAGCCAGATGACAGAGATAGACAGCAATAACTTTCCAAGTCAGATTGAGCTGATAAAGTGGGTAGTTGGTGTTACTATTCACGCAGGATTCTGACTGTCATGGCAAGGTTTTCGTTGGTGGTTGCCTGGCATTTCCAGTTCTGTGTTTTCACCATGAACAAACCCCTTCAAAACAGAGATGTGTCTGTAAGTGTAGCTCCTGAACCCAGTGCAGACAAAGAGATTTGATGCCTAGTTAAAGCCATGTAAAAATTTTATTGCTAAGTAGTTTTTTGCATTTGTAAAACTTGCAATAATAAGCCTGGAATGCGCAACCATGACAATATCCATTAGTGTTGTGCATATTTCTCAGATGAATTAATTGCCTATGAATTGAAGAGGCGAGAAGCAGAAGCTGCAAGGAGACCTCCACCAGAACTTGTCCGTGCCAAGATCCCATTCAGTGCATGTCTGCAGGCCTTTTCTGAACCCAGCAATGTAGAGGATTTCTGGAGCAGTGCCCTTCAAGCAAAATCTGCAGGAGTTAAGTAAGTGTGTGTCTGGCTGCCTGTTAAAATCTGTGCTCTGTGCTTGTCTTGCTACCTGGACATGATGCAGAGAGGAACAGACAAGAGCATAGTGGGTTTTGGTGTTGTATTATTATTGGGTGTCATAAATGTGATGTGAAGATCAAGCCTGACAAGAGTTGTAATGATGACTTGAGCAGGAAATCAATTGTTCTCAACTGTCAGCCTCCAAGAGGTGATGCAGTCTCGTTGTTAAGAGCTTGAACTTCAAATGCCTGTAGCTTAATTGTTTGCCTACATTTTAGAATTTCATCCTGTCTATCAAGTAGCAGTAGTTCATCTCAGTGTGCATGAGGTTCTGAAATCTGTGCTCCATGTGATTTTGTTGCCTTGTTTCAAAGAATTGTATTTCTTGTCCTTGCCAGGACCTCCCGTTTTGCTTCATTTCCTGAGTACTTAGTGGTGCAGATAAAGAAATTCACCTTTGGCCTTGATTGGATACCCAAAAAGCTTGGTATGTGCTTTTTATATTTACCTTTTCTTCATTCTATCCAAGATAATTGATAAGGTATACATGCTTTGGTCTATAATGGGGACCTGACTTAATTCTTACAGTTTGTACTGTGAAGATCCCAATTGAATCTGCTTTCCTTTTATGACAAATTAAACCAATCCATCAGGTCTGTGGAGTTAAAACACAGTTTCATGTAATCCAACCTCCTAGTTAAATTGTTTTAGTGTTCCAGATGTCTCAAATAACTGTTTTCAGCTGGAGAATCCTGTCTGTGCTTGTACCCCTCTCTCAAGGGGTAGGTTGAACCACAGGATCATTTTGCTGGGTGCATAAGCTTAGCCTGTTTCTCTGCTTTTGCAGATGTTTCTATAGACATGCCAGATTTCCTGGATATCAGCCACCTTCGGGCCAGGGGGCTCCAGCCAGGAGAAGAGGAACTTCCAGACATTGCTCCTCCCATTGTCATTCCCGATGACCCAAAAGGTATTTACTGTCTTCCTGTCTCATGTACTCCCCTCTCCTTCTAGCACACAGGGATTCTCTTCAATCTTCACATTTTGGGACTGTGAACAAAAAAGCAGCTCTGTGCTTCTGTCACTGAAGACTGTTAAAACAACTCACAGCCTTTTTTGTCTCCCTGTTAGACAGCCCCAGTTCTTCCAGCTTTTCTGCTTTGATGTTTTCAGGATTTATCACAGAATCACAGGCTGGTTGGGGTTGGAAAGGACCTTAAAGATCATTTCGTTCCAACACCCATGCCATGGGCAGGGACACCTTCCACTAGAAGGTTTGATAACTGATGCTGCTGTTCTGGACTCTCTCCAAATAATGAATCCTTTGCAGTAAAGTCACTGTGCACTTCCCAGGGTCTGGTGCAAAGGACTTGGTTTCAGAGTCCTGCCCTGGATCTCATGGCAGGTGTCATAAGTGGCATGGAGCATTAATCTATTTGATCTTTATATTTGCATAAGAGGTTTATTTACATAAACTGCTGTTGTTTTGTAGTAAATTTTGTCTAAAACCTGGTGATAAAGTAGTTTGGGAGGCCCTGTACCTAAATCAATTTCTTGGTTCATGTGTACTCCGTTGTGCGCAGTATTTGGTCCAGTATATCCTGGTCAGAAGGAATTTTAAAATCTGTCTTTTACTGCAATTACTGATGTAAGATTTTAGTGTTGCAGTTCTGAGCAGATGCTCTTCTCCTGAGTCACAGACTTTACTTACAGAATTCCGAACACTTTGGTTCAACGTGGCACAATGAGCACACCGTGTCTGCACAACTGATTAATTCACAGGACAATACTTAATGCACAAGGGGCCACAGTTTAAGATAAAAGCTTTCCAGGCATAGATTAAGATTAAAAATTTTATTAATTTTTAAAATACAAGAATTTTTAGACCCTTAGCAGGTGCCCATGCATGCACAGTCCTCTTCTCTGGATATATGTGGCTGTACAGCCCATTAAAAAGGGCTCTGTCTCGAGGACATGATGTCAAACAGCTAACTAAAATATTTCTAGAGCAGAAGGAAGAGAGTGAATAACATGCTATACTGGTGGGGTTTTTTCCCTTAAATACTGTTTCTTTTATGCTAAAGTTCAGAAACAAGAATATTAGAATATCCTCCTTCCCTGGGTTTCTCTGGAAAACAAAATGGTTTATGGCAAGTAAAATGATGCCCTTATAGTATGACCCTAGACCCAGGTTGTTGCAATTTCCTCCAAGTGACTGAAGTTTGGGTGCCTCAGTATTTAATATGAAGCCAATAATGCAACTACTCTCATGACATGATGGCCCCATTTGCTTGGATATTTTTAATAGAAGTGGCATAATATCAAACTGTATGTGGGTGAAAGGACATCAGTACCTGAAATTGTGTGCAGAGCAAGGATATGGCAAAATTCAGTTCTCTAAAAGTTTTAATTTCATCCCTTATCTGTAGAGGTTTCTCACAAAGGCCTATTCCTTCTTACCCTCTTGTTGAATGGACTGACCTAGTTTTAGTGTAAATGCATGGCTGATGGTACTTTATTTGTTACAAAACAGATTCTTGCTTAGGTCAACCATCAGCTTTATTTCCTACCGGTTTTTAGTACCAGTGACACTTTGCTCTGAACTAAGTCAGGGAAATTACTGCTCTAATTCATGACAAAAACATCGGTGATGTAAGGATGAATGTGCCCTGTCTCTGTGAGGTCAAATGTTTCTATGACTTTAAAAATATGGAGTTGTTTTTCACATATGGATCTACTTAACCCTCATATAAGTCCTTTTCCCTGTTTTTTTTTTTCTTGTTCTTAATTTTCAGATCGTATGACGAACCATTTCATGGAGTGTACGTATCTCATTTTTCTCAGGCTGGTATTTCAGCTGCTTAAAAACATTGTCATGCTATTGCTTAGCTGATGGCTTCTCATTATAGAGATGCATGAAATGTTGCCCTGCATGCTTCTAAATAACAGCTGATTTCTGTACTTGTTCAGCATTTACTTCCACATGTGCAGGATTCTCTTAGAAAAGAGTCTATAGTAGCATCACTATAGCCAGAATCTGAGCTGCTCCTCCATCAGCTGCTCCTCAGGAGGATCTTGCAATTCTGGGGGTCACAGCTGCTTGATCCTGGCTCCCTCTGGACACTGATTTAATTTAAATCTGTCATTCAGAGGTGCAGTTCAAGTGGACACTGATAGATCTGGCAGCTGTTGTTTCTCTAACCTGCAAGATCCTGCCTTTGAGTGGTGCTTGCTTTTGGCTGCCATTTCTAGCTAAGTTCACCATCTGACTTCCTCACCCCTTGAAATCCAGTGGTGAGCTTTCTTAATAAATAAAGTCCTGTAGTTGTTCATCAAGGTTTAATGATCTGTGTAGTTTACTGTGAAAAAAAGATTATTAAGTCCATAGCAACTCCTGTAATGCTCTGTACAAGGCTTATGGCTGTGGGTTTATTGAAGTACTAAACCAAATCCAAGGGATAGGTACTGTAATTAATGTGGCACTATGAATAACAATAGGACATATTATACAGTGGATGAAATTAGACTTTTATATTTTAGAAGGTCCTTTCTTGTAGCCCTAGATATTGATGAGTCTTCAGTCATGCAGCTGGCAGAGATGGGCTTTCCTTTGGAAGCGTGTCGGAAAGCTGTGTACTATACAGGCAACCTGGGTGCTGAAGTTGCTTTCAACTGGATCATTGCACACATGGAAGAACCAGGTCAGTGACTGGAAGGTGTAAGTTAAACTCAATTCCTCACTGTGTATTTTGGCAGTCAGTAGAAATTTTATAATGTGTGACAGAGAAACAACGGCCCCCTTCCCCACCTGGGAAACCTGGAGGTGTGAGTGAATTTTCCTAAGCTGCTCCTGGGATGTGCAGATCTTGACCATTATGTGGTATCCTCTGCCTAGAAGAAGTCAACAAACTAAGCTACACCAGAAGTACACCCTCCTGTCCTCACCAATGGTGTGGGCCAGCCCTGTGTTTCCACCCTTTGGCTAGGTCCGTGCTGCTAAGGGGGAAGCTGACTTGTGATCAAGTGTAAGTACAAAGAATCCTGTGGTCTGGGTGCTTTTCTTCCATATCAGCCTTCTCTAGCTCAGGCTAGAGCATTCATGCTGTACTTAGAACCTGGGCTATCTAGTGATGGACAGGGCTGCTAGATGTTCTCCACGTCCCGTGTTTCATCCATGCAAAGTTTGGGCTACAGATCCAGCACTGGGTATATCTGAGTACTCCCTTGCCAGGAAACTCCACGCTTCACCATGGGCTTTTGTGCTGCTTGTGTAAATGGGGAATGAGTTTCACTTGGGCTTAGCTGACATTTTCAGGAATGGAATCAGTTCATTTTACATCTGTGCTCTGGGTTGTCTATTATCCTGGTGACATCATTGCTTCCATACCAATCTGTGCTACTTTCCTGCAGTTGTTTGACTTCTGCCTTGTGCCAAGTTATTGCAGTCTGCTAGATATTTTGTAATGTGCACATTCATTTTGGTTTTTGTAAGGCTTTCCACACATCTAAGTCCCATCTAAATGATGCCAGCGAAATGAACTTACATTGATTTCAGGACTGATTTTGAGGTCCTGCTTGTTGTTTCTTTGTGTTTCTTGTTGACTTTCCACTTCAGTGAGGCAAAAGAATGAACTGATGAATATTTCTTTTTTCCAGACTTTGCTGAGCCTCTGGCCATACCTGCCTTTGGAGAAGTTGCTTCCAGTGGGGCAGCAGCATTGGGAGCTGTAGGGTTAGATAACCAGCCTCCTGAAGAGATGGTTGCAATTATAATTTCCATGGGATTCCAAAGGAATCTAGCAATTCAAGCGCTGAAGGCAACAGTGAGTTCCATGGATTATTGGTAGCACTTGGATTTTATTTCATGTTCTGTACTTCGTACATGTGTGTGCTCAGATGCCTTTGAAATGTGTGTAAAAATCCAGTTATTGGATGATGCACCAGAACTATTCTGGCAAAGTGTGGGATTCCTTGACTTCTCTAGAGTGGGGAAGGTGATTTGTGTGTTTCACTCAATGAAGTGGAAGACAGTGAGGAAAACTCACCTGCTTTTACTATCAGTTGAAAAATAACCTGGATGCATAAAGGCTATGTGTCAGCAAGAGAAGAACCTGGGGTCATGGGTCTTAGTTGTGGGATTATTTCTCTTCCATCTGCCAAGCTTCTGCAGAGTGCTTGTTGAATACTATTTTACTTGGAGGTAGACTGTGTACCTTCCAAGTGCTGTTAACATGATCCTTACTCTGTTCAAAGACAGCTGAGTGGCTGCATGATGGTAGGGAAGGTGTTAAAGGCTGCTCTTTTGATTATTTGGCTTACAGAACAGTAACCTGGAGCGTGCACTGGAATGGATCTTCAGCCACCCTGACCTTGAGGAAGAAAGTGAGCCTGCCTTGGACACGATGGATATGGAGAACAGTGCTAATGCCAATATCCTTGCAGACACAGGGTCAGAGGGACCCAGGATCAAAGATGGGCCTGGAAGTAAGTTCTGCTTCAGCTTAGAACTGGTTATCACATTGTTGTGTCACACCCACACCATTCATAGAGCTCCTTCCTGTTTTGAAAGTAGTTACTGCGCTTTTTTGGACATGATCCAGGCAATTTACTTCCACTCTTGCTTCTGGGGTTGAATCCAGCTTTGTTGGCTGCGGAATTCTGTGGGCTGTGTTTGCTCAGAACACTCTTTGCCTGGACTCACTGAATAAGCTGAGTCTGAGTTTGTTGTTACCAGAGCATGCAAGTCTGTCCTGGCCTAGGTTTACTTTTTGTTCTGTTGCTATACGATAAAAAGACAAAGAAAAGCTGGAATGTTTAAATCCTCAGAGGCTGAGCATCCTAAAGACAACGCTGCTCTTACAGACCACCTGAGTTTCTGTCCTCCTGTGGTCTGATGGGCAATTTTATAATCCCTTCAACCAAGCTCCTTATTCAAAATATGTCAGGTATAGTTTGTATCCTGCGTGTGCTGCTTTTGTTTTGTTTTCTTTTGGTTGAGATTCTCTGTCATACTACTGCTAAATAAACCACAAGATGGGGCTAATGTACGGCAGGCAAAGTTGTGAAGCAGGCAAAGAACCTGATGTAAGTGGAACAGCACTGGAGTACAAAAGCTCAGCGGTGGTGCCAACATAAGGATAGCACATAACATTTTTTGAAGGGTCTTTAGCGACCAGTTCTAATAAATGTAGTATTTTCTAAGCTTCTATCTCTGTTCTTGAATGTAAAGGTCTTATGCTACTACTGTTATATTAATGTTATAGATATCAACCTTAAGTCTTTTGGAAACACGGGGGACACTGATTATTGTTAGGTTAAAAAAAAAAAAAAAAGATTTGGAATAATTATTTTTTGTGGTACTTAGCCTTTATAGACTGAGACCATTTACTGAGTGCCTGAAATCCTGATAACCAACATGATTCTGTAAAATGGCTCCAGAAAGCCCTCTCCACCAAAATCCAGGCCCATGTCATTATGCAATATCCTGAAAGAAGGTACCCTTTTACTTTTGGTGGTAGTTTGGGTGAATGGCATGAATGGGTGGGAATCGAGAACCAATGCTGAGTTCGCCAGGGACTTTAGGCACAAAAATTGTCCTTGTGTCAAAGGAAGAAGTTTCTTTCCTGTCCTTTCTTTTATGGGCTGCTAAAATATAAACCTCTGGATTTTGTTTGATTTGTAGGGGATCTGTGATCACACTTACAGGCATGGCTAATTTGTGTGCAGAATGAAGTCCATACCTGGCACTTTCTGTGGTGCTCTCTGTGAACTGGGAATGAATCTGCTGTTTTGTTTCCTGGTAGGGGCTGTGATCACAGCCCTGGTGTGTGCACAGGTCTGTGTAGGTTTGATTTGGATTGGTTTGAAGCTTGACAGTGAATCTGATGTTTGGCAGTGAATCTGATCAGTGAATCTGACCAATAGATAGAGCGAGAGTGTGCTGCAGTGCTGACAGAAACTGTCTTTGGGGATGCAGAGCGTGAGTTAGGAGTGCTTAGCTGATCCTCCAGTATTAGAAAGAACGTTCTCCCTGGAGTCATGTTGCAGTGTTAGCAATAAGAACCTTATGATGCCATTTGTGTTTCTCAAAACAGGATACGAGCTGTTCGGGTTCATCAGCCACATGGGAACATCCACCATGAGTGGCCACTATGTTTGTCATCTCAAAAAGGAAGGAAGGTGGGTGCAGCTGGGAGACTCACACAGGGAGAAGCAAATGCCTGTTTTGAGGCATCAATCTTTACAGAGCAGGGTGTGCTCACTGTAGACAACACGTGTTTTACCATCTATACATTTCCCAACAAAGAAATGAAATTTGTTGCAGACTGTTGATGTGATGAGTCAGTTCTGATTCCACCGAGGTCTGTGCTGAAGCGTAACATTGGCTCTCCTGTGCTTGTTGTTCCAAATTCCTTCAGTTTGGGGCGTTAGTTCAGACACAGATCTGGCTTAGTTTATCTGAGCTATCCCCAACTTCTTTTTGTTCCCCATCAATAGAAAGCCATCAAACTATGGGCTGATACTAGTGTTGCTGATACTATTGTGGTGCTGATCTGGGCTGTGATTTTGATATGCTTCCATTTTCTGGCATTGGGAATCCCTGATTTTCCTTCATTTGGACTGCAACTACACATGTCCTCTTTTTCATTTCCTGACTGTGGCAACACTCTGCTTTGGCTATTTCTCTGATCTTTTGTTCTTGTTGCAATGCCTAATTTTAGATTTTAAGCTCTTTGAAGTTTGTGTCTGAGAAGTCCCTGATAAACTAGTGATGATTTTTATACACATGGAGTGTAATCCACTTTTTTTTTCCTTTCAGATGGGTGATCTACAACGACCTCAGAGTCTGTGCCTCAGAAAGACCTCCCAAAGACCTGGGCTACATTTATTTTTACCACAGGATACCAAGTTAGACCTCAAGTCTATTCTCTGGCCTTAAAAAGCCATAAGCCTTTTTAACCTGCCCAAAAAAGCGTACAATAAAAAAGAAAATCTAAACCCAACAAAAAGACCCCTAACCCTTGGACTGCCAAAAAGCAAAAGAAAACATGGGATGTTTATAGTGTATTTAAAAAACAGTCGTTTGATGCCGCCTTAAATGTCAGACGGGAAATTTCTATTAGGTGCTGTATAGTACATTGTTTTAAATTTATACACCTTAAAGGCCATGCAGATTACTGGTGGAGTTTGCAGCCAGTGTGTGGAGAAAGTGGAAGCTTCAGTGTTGAACAAAAATAGCCTAGTTCAGCCCAGCTCCTGCCTGTCCTGTCCATACCTTCGTTGAAAACCAGGAACAAACACTGGTGTCTTTGGTAACTGGAAGCCAGTGTTTCCAACCAGAGTCCAGGCCACGTAGGGAAATCACACAGAAATTGGAGGGAGAGGGTGTGTGACTGTTCTTCAAAGCAGATTGTCTTGTTTCAGAGGTTATTTTCAGTGCAGTGAGAAAAGTCAACTGAAGTTATGTCTGTTGAAATTCAGTGGTATACTGTTTTGATTTGCCTTTTTGATGCATAAGCCTAAGAACCTAATGGAGATAAAAGCAATCTCCTGTCAGTGCCCGGTACATTTTCTGCCAAAGAGAAATAGTAGATTTTATTCTTGCAGACAGAGGTTTCTTCATCTTCTCTTGAATGTTCATTTTGCAAGTCCTTCCAACAGATACAGGATTAAAGATGGCTAAAAGAAGCAGAGTTTCTGACTATGAAATTAAAGGCATACCCTCAGGAAAGGCAGGGCTATTATTTAAATTTGGGTTTCATATGGAGGAGGTAAGGAAGGGTTTAATGTCCTGTTATATTTATGCCAAGGAAACCTGCATCTAGACAACTCATATTCCAGCTGAAATCAACTCCCTGACGAAGTATTCCCAGTGAAAATCTGCTTTCTGCTAAGGATTGTTTAAATATTGAGTTTCCTCTGTGAGCGGGGGAAATTGCGTAGTAAAATTGCTGATTTATTGATTTTCCCCTCTCTGTCCCCCTTAAAAAACCTGAACAACAAAACCCAACAAGAACAAAAAACCTTGAATTGATATTTCAGCTTTCTTAAAACAGGCAAACACACCAATAACCTGATCTCTTCAACAGACACCTTCTGAAAGGGGTTTGATGTCTCTGGCAGGGTTGAAGGGGTGGATAGGCAGGGGCTGGCCTTTCCTGTCTGTTTTTGGTTTTTTTGGTGTTATTTCAGTTTGTTTCACAATGAAGAATATATATGGGGGCTTTTAAATTATATTTGAACACGCTAATTCTAGAAAAATTACAATGGTGAGTGTGAAACCTTTCATGATTCCAAAAAATACCCCCAAAGGTTCAACAGTGTTGGCCACTGCTTAGAGACTGTTGCTGGACTTGCCTTGTACAATGTTACTGAGCCCTCAAAATAAATTGCAACAGTCAAAAAACCCTCTTCCATACAAGAGTGGAGGAGAGCCAAGGAAATTACATTTCCTCTGCAGTCAGTTCCTGCAAGTTTAGTAGCAAAAATTCAGGCAGCTACGCACTACAGAGGAGAACCCAAATTAAACATCTGGTTACGAGTAGGGTATTTTATTTTCTTCCCAGTGTTTGGGGGGAAAATAGTTGTCCCTCTGATCATAAAGCTTCATGCAGAGCCAAAAAACACTGTTGTTTTTTTAATCAGCTTTTGATCTTAAAAGATTTGGAGAGAAATTCCAGTGCAATAATTCTGTACAGTGTAAAGGTGCCTAATTGCTGGGAAAGCTCCCAGCACTTAGTGCTCTTATTGACACAGAACTGTGGTGTCCTAGCATATTAATAAGTGTCCCCTGTGAGATTCAGCTGCCTTGTAATTATTGAGGCACCGGTCCTGGATGAAATAAAAGCTGCCAGTAAATTTTTTTCCTTCCTCCAGGTTTTAGATAGTTGTGTACTTCACCAGAAAATGGCAGATTTGAAAATGGGATCAGCAAATTATGCAGTGATACATCATCTATTTTAAGTGAAAGAGCAAAACTTCCATATATCCACGTGTTTTTTCATTCTGGCAGCAGAAAAAGGAGAAAAGGCCTTTTTATTTCCCCCCTTTTTTTCTTTTTAAAAATTTTTTTGTTGTTGTTTCTTTGTTTGTTTGTTTTTTAATTCACAGTTATATTCCAAGGAAGTTTGGCACAACAGCTTCCCTCTTGCCTCATGAACTTAAAGGGCTATTTATAAACTAATAAGATCTGGTGGCCACTGCCTTTTTATTTAGAAACGTTGGGTAAATAAAGGCCAACAGAGTAATTCCCATGTTCATTATTAAACTGGAAGCATGGCTGGTCTTGTAGGATCAAGGATGGAGCTTGGACTGTTGCAAACTATTTGTCTGGTGCATCCTAAAACTGTAATGGCCGTGGGACTGCCTGATGTCACAAGGCACACTTGGAAGGCTGGCAGGAGATAATACTGGAAATAGTAACTGAAAGAGGACAGCCCTTGGCTGGCTTGGTAAGGGAACTGTAGCAGCTCAGCTCCTGAAAGTTCTTTTCAGTTCATGGCTCGTGTTCTGCCTGCCCAAAACCACCAAGCTGGTCAGGAGTGCAGGGAGCAGTTTAGGGGAAGTGCTTACAGGACTTCTGAAATTTAGCAGTCAGAAATAGCAGTTAGAAATTCTTCAGTCAGCTGTTTGAGGCATTATTTTATTTTCTTCCAAAGCAGTGGCATCCTTTCTTTTTCAGATTGCTGGTTGCCTCCCTTTTGTGGTGGGATATGTGTGAAGAACATCTTGAATCTGGAGGAGCAGGATGTAAACTCCTGACTCTTCAGCCTAATGTGGGGGAGAAGTTTGTTTTGGTGTTTTTGGTTTGTTTTGTGTTTTGTTTGTTTGTTATTATTTTTAAACTTTAACAGGCAGAAACCACACTCAAACAGGCTGTACTGAATAGATGACTAATTCATCAGGCTTTGCCTGCTAAAATTTAGATGTGCTGAGTTGTGCTGGGCCAGGCCTCAGTACACAACCTGGGCACACTCCCTGAGTCTGGGTGCTGGAAGAGCTGCTGGGGAGTTCAGTGTGCTGAGGGCTTCTTGCCAAAAAGGGATGGAGGAAGAAAAATCACTGTGAGCTGTTTGAGACAATCTAACCTGAGAATTATGGCAAGCCAAGACTTGGCAGTGAATAATTCTCTTGTTCTCAGACTGATTTCTACTTCTATGTATGATACATTTAGGTTAGGAAATTGGAAGGAAATAAAACTCAACAACTTCTACTTGTTTAGAATAAAAAATAATTTATTCAGAGCTGTGTAGATGTTTCTGAACTCCCATCACTTGAAACTCTACTGGGTTCAGTGGCATTATCTGTGACTCACTTTGGTGGAACTGAAACCAGCCTCAGACCAGTTCTTTGATTCAGGCAGCCTCCTCTGGGTCACAGAACACATTTGGAATATGGATGCAACCAGAGCTCATTAGATTGCTTTAAAAGCCTCTCCAATTCATTCCTTTTGTTCTCCATCCTGGCAGCAGCCATTTTTATCCTCTTTGCTGTTTTCATGCATTGAATGACTATGCAAAATATGTAACTGGACATTTTATTGTTTTCCCCATCACCCTTCCTACCTTAATGGCTGAGATCAGTGTCTGATTTCTACTCACTCTTCAGTGGTTTTACTGTTGTATCCTGGAATTGTCTGTCCTGGTTTACTTTGCACCACTCGGAGTTGTTTGCTTGAAGCACTGTTAACTTTTTGGAGAGTATTTGTCCAAGATGAGAAAGGTTGTAAATGACATTGTTGCAACTGTTTTAAATTAAAAAGAAGTATTCTCACATCTGGTGACTGTGTGGATTCTTGCTTCTTTCTTTCCTGTTTGAACTGCAGGGGAATTGACTGAATGTGTTTTGATTCTCTCTCTTTTCTTATTCTCTGTGGTCTCTCTTGGTGTTTTACTTAAAAAAAAAGAACCTGCAGAGGGAACAGAGAGGTTTGTGAGAGTCTTGATTTTCTGTGACTTCTGGCATTTTGTGGATTGAAAAAAAGAAATCCCCAAGCCTTGAGTAGATATAAACAAAGGAAAAAGTAGAAAATAGGATTTAAGACAAGATTGATTTTTTGTTTTTAACTTTTAAGCCAGTTGATGTTCTTTGATCACAAGAGTTGGCGATGTTTGTGTGGAATAGTGTTGTCATTTCACCCCAAATTCCTGCTTTATCATGGTCTATAATTTCTCATACTCACTTAGAAATTTCATCTGCTGTTCAGCAAAGGAGAAGTCTGTTTTCCTCATGTGTAAGGACTTTACATAGCAATGTGACCACTGGGAGTCAGGTAGGTGCAAGAACAGGCCAAGAAAGAAGACTGAGGATGACAAGCATTTCTACTTTTTATAGGATCATGGAACCAGGAACCGGAGGAGAGGTAAGAGGTAAATCTGCTGGGCTCTGAGTGACACTTCCTGATGTGGAAATGGAGGGCATGTGACATGTAGAATGATAAGAAATGTAGAGTTGGTTCAGCTTCTGAAATCCAAATTTAATGATCTGTTTTGGTCTCTTTTCTATGACAGATGTCCTTTGTGACGATGGCAAGCCACACCACACCGTTCACACCACTTGTAGCAGCTGGCAGAGGTGGGAGAGCGGCTCCTTGTGCAAGCTAAAGGCTGAATTCTTCATCCAAGAATTCCCTGTGTAGGATCTGTACTTGCTAGCTTTTTGCAGACTGTTTGTGGGAGGTGCTATAACTCACAAGTTACCACACTCTTCTCCCCCTCACTGAAGCAGGAAGTAACTCCTCTGTCCCTCAGGTGTACTACAAGCTTAACATGAATAAGGGAGGCACTGACAGCTGTGGTGGAAGACAAATGCCATAAAATTATTGAAGACAGATACTGCATGACTGACAGCTGGTGAGGAGTGGGCGACTGTGTTTTCAGATGTCTTCACCAGTATCCTTCCCTCATTTTTTGAGCAGCTTTTTATGTGTATTTGGTACTAATGCTTTTCTCCCAACCACTGTCTTTTGCTTCAGGATGACAGTGCTGTGTTCCTGGTCTGGGTTTCTTACCGAGCACGAAATTCATGGATGTTCCTGTTGATACATTTGAGCTGCTTTGTTGGTACATTTGAGCAGTAAGAACTAAACTAACCTTTGTATCTCCTGGCAAAACACCCCAGTGTCAAGAGCCCACAACTACTTTCATCCCAAGGGATAGTGTGTTTTTAATGTCCTGTCACAACTCCCTTAGCTGTCCACAGCCCCCAGCTTTTCTGTCCACATCATCATGCAGGAATTTTTGTCCCTCATGTCTGGGATTGTGTTGGTGTTTCATAGCAAAAGCATAGAGTAGGAATGACATTATCCTTATCAGCTCCTTTGCCTCCTCCTGTGAAAGCCAAAACTGAAAAATGCCAATAGCAAACTCCTACTCTGGTGTTTGGGAAATTGCTTGAGTAGTGATTTCAGTCACTGAAAGTTTTTGTTGTTGTTTTTGTTTGTTTGGTTTGTTTGTTTTTATTTGGTTTTGTTTTGTTTGTTTTGGGTTTGGGTTTTTTGTTTTTGTTTTGGTTTTGGTTTTGTTCTGGGGTTTTGTTTTGTTTGTTTGTTTGTTTTCATAAAGATTGTTTTGTGATATTACTCCTTCTGGTTTAATTGTTGCATGGTCTTCAGGAAAAATTTAAATCTACTTTTTCCCCCTTTTCCTCATGTGGACTGTTTGCACAAAATCTTTTGGGCCAGGCCTCAGATGATATAAATTCCAGCTGTAAGTATAATAGATCAACATGTTGAAATAAAAATAAATTCTAAAAATAACTCTGCCTCAGAGTAGCAATGAATTTATGAAAAATGAGAATAAAAGCATCTTCTGGGCTTAATTTTTAAGCAGAGAAGCAAACAATAGGATAGAAGATCTCATTGAAAAAATCCTTTCTTTCAGTTGGAGATGTAGATTCCTCCTTTCAGTTCATGTAATTGTAGTCAAGACCATTCTCAAATTGAAAAGAGATTTTGAAATATTTGAAGCCACAGACAAAGTTTATTTTTAAAACATATTTAAAAATCGCACAGTTATAAATACAGGTAAATAAATACAATTTAATATGTGGAAAAGAACCCAAGGAAGGCATGCTTCCATTACAGTACAAAAATACTACATTAAGTGTGGTGCTCTGCAAATAGTCATCTATGACCTTAATAAATTTAACACATCCAGTATGCACATCGTTCTTTTTTTGTTGTTGTTGTCGTTTTGTTTTTGAGGAAACAAATTATTTTAAACAGCAGTGCAAGGAAACACCAAATTAAAGCATCAGTAAACTATAGGTCTGTGTTTAATATTATACACAGCTGATAATGCACTAAGTATACAGAGGCAGAGTTACCTGCAGTAAGAAACTGATCTTTTACCCCGTATTGCTCTTACATTCAGATTCTTGGTCTGGGTCAATACGAGCCTCGGTAACGGAATGTAAACATTCAGGTGTCGGGCTGAGCTCCCCCTCCGCACCCACCGCCCGCCCTGCCGGGCCTGGCACCGGCGCTCCCCCCTCACCCCCGGAGGGAAGGGAGCAGGGCAGGTCTGTGCAGCAGCAGGGCTCTTCAGATGGCCCGGGTGAAAGGATCTGCCAACCCTAAAATCTCTTCTTTCCCCTATGTTGGCTTAAAAAATAAAGCCAAAAGAACTGATGCGAGATTGCAAAGGTGGTGTTTTTTTCTCCAACGGTTTACAGCATGTAGAAGCCACACAGAATGCCTCTCAAAACTATATAGTTTTATTTTACTCTAGATATGTTATACTCTGATATATAAAATATATTTATAAATTTTTTTCTTTTTTTTTCCTGAATTTACAATAGCTTACTGATATTAAAAAGGCTATTCAAATTAAAGGTTTAGCCAATGTTGATGGCATTCTGTAAATGTAGAAGGGGAAAAAAGATCAAAGCACATCAAGTCTTGACCATGCAAGCTTGCTCAATGGGCTGTCACATATGCAAGCATTTGTAAAGTTACAGCATATTTTAGGAAAATTTAGATTCCTTCTGTCTCTCCCTCGTTGAATGCCTGTTGCTTTGTGGGCTGAGGCTCTGAAACTCCCCGTGGATTCTGTGGCATGCCTCTTTTTCACTTTGCCTAGGTTTGTTCAAAGTGTCAGTGATCTCTTTATGCCAGGCACTCCTTTTTTCTGATTTATTTCACCAGTCCAAAACCAGTAGAACTACAATGAAGGAATCTGACTTCTAGCCTAGGTAGGGTTTGAATAAGTAGATAATACTGTATTGCATATCCACCAGTTTTTTCACAACGTGCAGTGCATTTTGTCTTATCGTTTTTGTCTGTGAGTACTTGGCATAATATAAACATCTATTACATAAATTCACTGTACAGACTGCTAAGCTGACAACACTGGTGACCAGAAATCACATTTTTTTTCAACTGTGCAGGTTATTCATGCAAAATAACTACTATGTCTCATTTTGCAGATGCAAGTTTGGGCAAAAGGGATCTACAACCAATTTATGTTTTGCTCCATTTCTCACTGGCTCCAACAGGCAATGTCTGGCAGTAATTATGTCAGTTGTTATTTCTGCCATGGTGGCTTTTGTGTCCTGAAGGCCCATGCTCTGTGGATGTTCCTAGGATCACCTGGCTGCTCTGTTGTTGTTGTCAGGGTCCTCCTTTTCAGGCCCAGGTTTTCTAAATTTGGCTCATTAGCTTAACTCCATGTGCTGAGGTTTCAGCTGAGTTAAGTGTCTTCAGTTGGAGGTAGCAGATATTCAGATCTTGTGAAGTTTTACATGGGCATATTTCAAACAGGACATTGAACAATGAGATGTTTTCAGAGCTACTGGGCAAGTTTGAAAAGCCTGGCCATGGTAAGAGAGCACAGACTGAGACAACAGCTTTTTCACTGATTCTGGGAATTTTTTTCTCTGGTTTGTGCTGTGTGGTTCAGACTAGGGAAGAAAATGTGAAAATCCAAACACCCAACTTCACTGTGAAAGTTGTGCGAATTTAGCTTTTTAATTCTTGAGAGGATACTAAAACATGTCTGCAAAAACTGTTACTACAGATGTCTGTTATTAATTAAACACTTGAAGCAAACATGAAATCCACAACAAAAAGTGATTTCTAAGGATGGGATTTTAAAAGGGCTCTGCTTTTGTTCTAGCCTGTTCCAAATAATACGAACAACTCAGATTCGAGTTTGGCGGATGCAAAGTACTTTTAAAATATTCCATAGAAGAATACCAACCAGTAGCTTAAAAATACCCTATGTGTGGGCCTTCTGCATGCATTCTGTAAACCCATGCTCAGGTAGCATTGCTGCATGCACTGGGTTAATAATTCAGAGTGGTTATTGGTTAATGTAGCTGCATGCAATATTGCCATGTGAGGTTTTGTGTCATTTGAACCTCCCCCTCGATATTTTTACAAGTGCTGTGATTTATCAGATCATGAGAAAATACTGTTAGATACAGGTATGTTTATCTGTGTACCTAAAGATCAAATCAGTTCTTCAAGCTGACATAAGCCTATTCCCACAAAGTTTCTGTGGTCATTACAGTTTAATCAGATCAGCCAGAAAGGAGCCTTCTGCCTTCGTTGCAAAGCCTCACTCCATAAATTATCCCCGTGATTCCAGTGCCTGTTCAGCATGTGCAGTGGTACCAGAGCCAGCCCTTGCCTGGTCACTGAATACCTGCACGTGAGCTGATCATGCAAAGTGCTGAGCACTCCTGTGAAGACTCCAGGCTTCCAGTGCTCAGCAGCTTTATGGATCAGGCTTCTAGGTCACAAATATTCTTAAAGCTTTGCAGAGAAAAATGAGAGGGACGGTCCTAAACTGGGGGTTAGGAAAATGTTTTTTAATTGCATGAAGTATAAAATAGAAAAAAGACTCAAAAACTTGGAATCAGGTACCTGGCAGTGATAAATCACCTCTGGAAAAAGAGGGGAGTAACAAGAACAAGAAACAGGGGTGGGAGAGATGGTGATACACCATTGCAGCACTCTAATTTAGCCTCACCCCATAGATGCTGTGGAGTTGTTATCCTGAAATGTCTGACTCTCTTCTCTGCCGAAATTTCTAGTCTGTATGTGAAACTGCTTCCTTAGACTGGGCAACCTTGTGTTTGTGTGGGACCTTCCTCTCTGGGTGAGTGGTGACCTAACCCATGCAGTCTGTGGGACAGCACCGCTCCCCTGCTCCCACGTACTGCCATCACATGCAATGAGTGTTATTTCCCATCTTCCTTCCTTGCACACCTGGGTGTCACGGATGGCAGGAGGTTTTGGCTTGGTCGAGCTCACAGGGAGCACTGAGAAGAGGACCCAGATTTGCTGTCTCTCACTCCCAGGCTCAAGCTGCTACTGTTTAGCACCCGCCTTATTTATCCCGCCTCATGCTTGGTTAGAAGTGCAAGTAGATGAATTTTCTGTTCAGGTTGTTAATATGCTGCAGCCTCCACACATCTCCTCTTGCTGTTTCAGGCAAATATACGTGCTTGCCCCTGAATATTTAAGGAATGCCGTGAGGAGGTCAGATCAAAGCTGTGCCTAATCCTGTCTGCTGCACTGACAGTGCTTGGCAGTGGGAGCCAAGGAGGATGATAAAGCCCAGGACACTGAAGAAGTCCCAAAAGTCCCAAGAGCTGCTGGGTCTGACCTGCTAGAGAGAGGTGAGCTCAGCCTCCAGCTGCTCTCCCACACTGACCAGGACAGAGTTGTGTGAGGAGATGTGCCACTGGCCCCTAGAAGTCTGCCTGCTTTGTCCTCCCCTCTCGCAGTGTCTCGGTCAGTGGTACGTGGTTAACTAGCCACAGGCTGTCTACAGCAGGAGAGAACAGCTGGGATAGTCTCCAAGGGTGTGCACCACCTCTTTGGACAGGCTTTGAAGCCCATGTCCTGTGCAGCAGAACTGCAGTGCTCTCGGAGGACCCAGGGACCTGAGCCGCCCCTCGGGAGGCAGAGTTCAGTCCTGATGATTTGTCTCGAGGTTACACAGACAGCTCACACCAATCCCATGGGCGTGGACATGCATCAGCAGATGAATGTAGTTGGGAGCAGTACATCTCAGGATAAACTAAAAGCTAGTTCCTACTTTTTGGAGAGGCCTGGAGTTGTATTAGGATTTCCTAACAGCTGCTGTGTTACTCGTCCACAGGCTGAAGAAGATGTTTAGTGAACTGCCATGGATATCAAATACCCTCTGTCATTCTGACTCTGAGAAGTCAAGTACTTTTTTTTTTTTTTGATTTACAGATATAAAAATATCTGGTTTTATAATTTAAATATATAGAAATAAAGTTCCTGAACAGCCAATTCCTCTGGGTAAGCACTGATTATCCTATACCACAGCACTGAGGATATTCTAGAGGAACTTGTATGATGGCAGGGCATCAAGCAAAATCTAAGCACATATGCCTTTGCTTTACAGCCTCTTCTCAAAGCTGCCTCCCTTCTCTCTTATCACTTCCCAGATTCAATTGCACTGCACCTTCTGCTCTGCCTTATCAATAAAGAGCTGTCATCACACATCGCTGTCAAAGCAAAAGAGCAAACTGTTGTCAGCAGATATGAATACAGCAGCCCACTTAGCTAAAGTGACATTCCCAGTCAGTCCCATACCCCATCCTTAGAGAAAGCTGCAGGAATTGGTTATGAAACGATAGATAAACAGGAATATAGATGTAGACAATGAATTAATAAAACACTCTTAAAAAATTTCTGTAGCTGTTTCAGCATCTCTGTTCTGTGAGGGAGAGTGAGGGCTAAGCCTTTTATTTTTTAATGACAATCGGTTATTTGTATTTAACAAACTATAGATGGTGATTAGATGCAGTGATTACACTGTCTTACATGGAATTTTCCTTTAAGTGGTTGCTGAAAATAACAGACAGCTGCAAGAAACTTAAAGTTTGTCCTGGTGAAACTGTCTAACTCCCACAGAGCTTCTTTCTCTGTGATCCGTGCAGTTGGATTTCTTTTTTATCTGGCTAAGCTGGATTTTTCTTTTAATGTTGTTTATAAGAAATGTGCTATTTGTCCCACTTTACCACATTCCAGAAGCTGTTCTGCACATTGAATTCCTGACCACAGGTCAACACAGTAGCCACCTAATTACACTTTTTCTCTCTCACTATTTTGGAAAAACATTAAAAATATCAGCAATGGAAAATCACCCCCTAAAAATTTCTATTCCTTCTTTGATTGATGCATTCACCCTGAGCTAAATGTGTTTGATTGTAGCCAATCAGTCCATTCATCATGTGGAAATGTACTGCCCCAACACTGTTCCCTGTTCATC